GTCAAATTACACAGCATGGGAAAATTCCAAAACACCTTCATCAAATGACACAGAGCACTCTGATTGGTGAATTTCAAGCCAACCAATCAGAGTGCTGTGACAGGTAAATGTAGAGACTTACCTGTCAGTCTCTTCATTTACCTGTCAGAGCACTCTGATTGGATGGCTTAAACCCACCAATCAGAGTGCTCTGAGCCTAATTGCAGGGCGGGGCAAGGTTTTATAAGCCTTCCCCCGCCCTGCAGAGCTCAGTCTGCGCGGAGCCCTCGCTGGGTGAAGATGGATTTTTTTTTTTTGCGCTCGCTTTTTTTTTTTATATAATTGCGTCGGTTATTATGGTTTTTTAGAAGATTTTAGAAGAAAGAAAACATCGAATGGTAAGTTTTTTTGTTTTTTTTTACAGGAACTTAGTTAAAGGTCCCGCCCTCATTATTTTTAGGGTGAGGGGTTAGGTAGGGGGATAATTTTTTTTGGGGGGGGAGGGGGTGACTAGGGGTTTGGGGACCCCTAGACACCTGGGGGGGCATTTTTTTAGGGCCCCCACCCACCGCTCAGGGTTGGGGGCAGGGGGGAGGACAATAGGTCCCCCCCTTATTAGTATTTAGGGCCCCCACCCACCGCTAATGTTTACTTAGTATTAGTCAATTTGGCTGAAAGACCAATTTAGGCCTTTCAGCCTTTTAGTAGATATCTCCCTAATACCGTGGGAATTAGGGAGTTATCTACTAATCAGCTGCAATAGAAGTCCCGAGGTGCCGAAGTTCCGAAATTCCGAAGTGTCGAAGTTGCCGAAGTTGCCGAAGTTCCGAAGTGTCGAAGTGCCGAACTTGCCGAATTTACGAAGTGTTGAAGTGCCGAAGTTCTGAAGTACTGAAGTGCCGAAGTTCCAAAGTTGCCGAAGTTCCGAAGTCTTGAAGTACCGAATTGCCGAAGTCCCGAATTGCGAAAATCCAGAATTTCGGTATGCCGAACCGAACCGAAAATTTTCCCCATGCACATGCCTAATTACTATACAGATGTTGAGGCTGATTTGTGTGTCAGAGGAGAGTGACTCCTTTGACCTATCTGACAGTGACACATTTAGCGAGCCTTCTGGCGATCAGGAGGAGCTCAGAACGCCGCACTGTACTTAATATTAATGTCGCCGAAATACCCCTATTTTTGTCAACCCCTGGCATCACAACCATAGTTGAGAATTGTGAGCCAGATAGTTATTTTAGCCTGTTTATGACGGATGGCATCTTTGAGTTTATGTTTTGCGCAAACAATATTCTATGCCAGTCAATATCTCACTGCCAATCCTGGTCCTCGCTACAGCAGGAAGATTATGCTGATGTTAGTAATGGGGATTGTGAAAAATCTAGTATTAGGAGTTACTGGCATAAACACCACTCCTAAGTACCCCTCTTTTTACAGGTATTATAAAGAGGGATAGGTATGAACAGCTTCTCCCAGGGACACCCAGTATGCCCCTAGAAATTCCCCCAGTATAATTGTCTACAAAAAATGAGGACCCTAATTGATCACTTGGTCAAAACAAATTTCAGAGAATTACACCCCTGGCCAAAATATCTGCGCAGACACGTCCATTTTGAATTTCACTTGACAATGGTCATTCCAGCCGAAATGTTGGATGGTTGTTGCGTGTCACAATGATAAGGTAAAACACTCTTTATACAGCAGTTTATTTAATTCCTCCTATTATTTTGATCATCATCGTTGTGAAAATTATATTTTGAGTCTGTATGACAATACATATACTTTTGTATATAAATTTATTGCACAGGTATATTCATTATTGAGTTATCTGTGATTTGTATACAAGTGTGTAGGTATATTATTTTTATTATTATCATTCAATAAAGCTTATTTTTATACTATATGAGGTGTCCATTTTGTGTGTATATAGTACTCACCGTAAAAACCTGGTATAAAAAAGTTGCCACCTATATAACTTCTGCATACTGTGTAAAAACCAATGCAACCAGCTTTTGTCTGACATTTTGTTTTTGCCAGCCCCCCTATCCCTCGTTATTACAATCTGTAGATGTTCAAAGACTCTGTGGAAAACAGTTCCATAGTAGAATCCACCAACAGCCCACAAAAAGTGTAGAGTCTGAAAAAAAGAGGAGTTAATAGGGACTTTACGTATTATTGCCCTTACTGCCCATCTGTACCTGGCCTATGTGTGTCTGAATGTTTTAAAGTGTACCAAACATAGTTAAAGGGACACTATAGTCACCAGAACCTTTACAGCTTAATGTGCTGTCTATAGCCTGTCCCTAGAGGCTGAGCAATGTAAACATTGCCTTTTTAAAGATAAGGCAGTATTTGCATTGCTGCCAAGGGACAGTCACTTCGATGGCCACTAGAGGTGCTTCCTTGTTCAGTACTGCTCAACTTGCAGCACTAGCGTTCAGCATCTCCATGCTCTGCATGGAGGCACTGAACACTCCCAACAGAGATGCACTGATTTAATGCATCTCTCTGAGGAGATGCAAATTGTTGCAGTGTGGCATTTTGCCGCACATGCGCAATAGCCTCTCAAAGCATTGCATTGTCTGAAGTAATCAAGTTTGATGAAGTGGGACTAGCTAAAACCTGAAGTGCTCATGGAGGTTGGAGAAACACTTTAGCCATTCCCTGTAAGAAAATGTGACACCAAAGAAAAGTCCCTAAAAGAGAACAACGAGAGCATGTCATTAAATGATCTAACACAGAACATTTCTATACAAGTGGATTCCGCAGCACCCTGTACACAAACTGCCATGGTTGGCTGGCTTGCAGGTTGATGCACCACATTCCTGGTAGCATCATGTCACCAGTGATGCACATTCTGGTTCTGTCCCCTCACATATTGATTTTATGTCCAATGCTTGGTGGTATGTTATGGGAAGTGCCAAGGGTGGGATTGCATTTCACTCATATGTACATACCTGAAGGATAAGGGGCAAAAGGCATGGTGATAACCATCACTTAATGTCCATCAATCCAAGGTTCATACCACACACCCAGTGTGTCATATTATATAGATCTCCAAGGGTTCAAATTCCAAGTCTTACACTACTAGCCAGGCTTTACTCACCACTGCAGTCCAGGTGAGTGCCATGCACCCTCCAGACGTGAATTCCTAGTCACCAAGGTGGAATTTTCCCTCACTAGTGGCTAGCGGCAAGTGGAAACTGTGAATTTTGTATATTGTGGCACAGAGTTATTTGATGTCTGGTTCAGAATAGGCTGTCTGGTCTGTATTGTTTGTCTCAAAATAAATGTATCTCCCCCTCATTTTCTACCTCAGATGTTAGTTTTTAGGGCTCTCTTTTTATTGGTCTCAATTAGTTAAATATTACTGTGTTCTATATTCTCACCTTCCTACATGTATATGACTGGGTGTGTCCGACAATAAAGATGAAATGATTTCATTGAAGATTGACGTCAAAGTTCTATTTATGGGGGGATTTTCCAAGTGGCCTTCTTTGTAAATGCCGCTATGAAACAATCATAAAAATCCACAAACCAACCCATGACTATCTCTGGCATCGGTTATTTTGGGTGTTGGACTCTTTCAGATTGATCAGTGTTGCCTCAGACCTGAGGAAGAGAGGAAACTCTCGAAAGCTTGTCATTAAAAAATTATGTTAATCCAATAAAAAAGGTATTACAAGATACAAATTTTATTTGTTTTTTACATCTACATCACTGGACTAATACGGCTGCAATCTCTACTTGAATAAAGTGTGTAATTCCTCTGCACCCCAATTCTTCAATGCAAACCTTGATTCAACAAATCATCCAATGGAATGCACCTTGCTACGTTTTGGCACCTTAGTGTCTTTGTCTAGTCTCTTTCCATACAAAGTGATTATAACTGGCCACCCATGGTCCTTCCCTCATCCTCCCAAGGAATGTCAGGAGACCCTCAGATGCAATCAGCATCAGTGAGTTAAGAAAATCTTAAATGGAAATGATTTATTCCAAAAACAGGAGAAGTTGTTTTTCTGTTCAATATGTTATTTAAATCTGCTTTAATACTATTTCTCTATATATAACGCTTCCATTTAGGATAGGGCTGAAGGCAAAAGAGAGATTTACAGCAAAAGTAAAGACTTGAAAAGATAAGGATTTTTTAATTTTTTGCCTTTTGTATACAATGCATTAGATCAAAGAGGGTCAACTCTGTCCTGGAGTGTCGAGTAAAAGAAGCAGTACAAGCACCATGACTGTTCCTGGACCACTGCAGCTCACTGGAGGGCCTGGAGTATTCAGGCACCCCACCATTGTAAGTAGTCAAACTGAATTAGAATTAGAATTACCTGGGGTCTTGCGGGCGCCACTCCCTGCCTCCAATATAGCCAGTAGAGAGAGGTGGAAGCTCCCTGCCTAAGTGAAGCCCAGCTTAGCCGTATATTTGCAGCCGATAATATAGCAATGGACTACGCAGATTAGCTCAGAAGCACCAAAAAAAATCCTAAGCAGAAGATTCACGCTCTGCAGGATGCTACAGAGTGGCGGTAGGGAGGACCCTAGGTTAGAAGTAAAACTGTTCTAAGCCAGTTTGAATGCATAAAATGGGAGTGGACACCTCTGGCTTGGCATCAAAACCTGTTCAATGCACTTTAGTGGTGATAGTGTTTCACAGAAGGCCTTTGTTTTGTAAATTATTGCACGAAAAAGTTGAATTGGAAACATAGCTAAATTGTCCATTTTTGTTTAGATTTATTCAATGAACAAGGCTCAACAGGTAAATTCTGGACAAATCGATTTGTTCGGCTATGGATTAAAAAGGAATTTGTTTTGTATGAAAGTCTTGGAATTTTGCCAGTTTGGCTATTTTTGCGTAAAAAAATTGCAACTCCTGGTTTTGTAAATAAGTGTGGAAATATATTACATCCAATCTATTGATAGTATTTATTTTTTTTACCTTAGTGGATGACGGATGATTCCCTTAAAGGGGAACTATAGTGCTAGGAATGCAAAGCTGTATTCCTAGCATTATACTACCCTCCGTTCCACCCTCTCTCCCATGGTCCTGATTGACAACCACTAGAGGTAGTCTTAGTCCTGCAAGGTAAGTATTGCAGTTTCTCAAAATCTGCAATATTTTACTTTGCAGGACTAAGTGGGACTGGGACACTGCGCCCAGACCACTTAAATGAGCTGAAGTGGTCTGGGTGTCTATAGTGTCACTTTAAACTATGCAATGCTGATAAAACAAAGACACAAGCAGAATTATTTTCCTTCATATGTTTTATTTAGTTGCCATGCTACTGTAACTGTAAACATGGCAGTTAGAAAACACACTGGGGTATGCCCATTCTGAAAATCTTGACCTGATCACTGGTCTTCTCCAAAAGTGGTTAAGCAGAGCAGAGGCTGGCAGAGGCTTGTGAGAGTTTATCTACCAGCAGGCAGCTTACCAGCCTTGCTACGGAATGAAGAAAGTCCATTTCAGTACAAAGTTTAAGGCAAGTAAGTGATTACATAGTAAACATCAAAAATCAAGTATAAAACAGATACATTAATTTACTGCACATGTTGAGAATGTTGGTAGTACATTAGTTCACAGGTCAGTAGGACCTAGAATTTAAATGAAGCATCCCTATTGGAATAATCAATAAATAACACATGATAAACAGTACCAGGAGAGAGGTTTGTTACAGTTATACTTAACACGTGTATTTTTTAAAGTAGACCACCGTGAATGACTCAGAACCATCCGATGAATTCTTAGTGTTCCTTGCATGGTAGATGGGTACAAAAGGCTTTGCTGAATTAAGTAGACATCTACATGGATCTACATATCATATCTATATCATATCTATACATTCTGAGTCTTGCTAGACAGAATCCATACTACGTACCCAATGCTCTACACTGGAATGGTCTGGTCTAATCTTCGACACAGGAGCTTAAACATTGCAACCTGGTGTCGACGTTCATTCAGTAAAGTTTCTCGAAATTCTGGTTTCATTGCATCCAGAGTTGATATTCCTGTGTAACCTGGAAACCTCAACCAGATTTTCCGCTCAGCAACATTATACTTTAAAACTTGGTGATTGGAACTGGAACTGATGGAAACTGTTAATTAGTGCAGCCTCTAAAATAACAATAGGTACATTTAAATTGGCAGGAGAATATTATTTTTGCCAGCACCAATTCACATTTTAAGACATAATATAAGTACAAAAGGTTTTTTCAAAAAGACAACAACATTTTAGGAAGAGGTCAGTATGTACGATAAGTGGACATCCAAAACACAGTACCACTGAGTAACTCTTAATGTAAGTTCTTTCCCCCAAATGGGTGATAGAAAATTGGTTCTTAAGGAAACAGCAGCAAAAGGAGCAATAATAAATTATATTTGCTAAGGATGGTATCATGGACACGTGAGGGAGGTCAGCAGATTTAAAAAATGTCCACTCCCACAGCATCTACTTGACATTCATTGTATAAGTCCCATCATTGTTTTCAAATTCTGTCATGTGGATCACTTATGGTCTAGGCACTTCGTCTAGAGCACTCATAAGGCTGGATTTTGTCAAAATCTATATCATTGCACAGTACATTCTCCCCCATAGTTCAGGCACTAAAAGTGGTAATCTCATGACATGAGCTTTTATACATTAACCAGTGGTTTGGTCATCTACAAGACATTTTCCATCAAATTAATTCATCTATAAAATGCCCATGCTTTTTGCTTTTCAAAACATTTCATATGTTTTTTTTTAATAATTATGGATAATCTTCATATGTGGCAAGCAGCCGAGTTTCAATGGTTGCCCAGAGCCTGACTCGTTGCTCGAAAAGCCAACCTGACCTATAAGATATGGTGATATTTACTTCCAGTCATCTTGATTTCCATCATGGTGGCCCCCACACTTACATAGGTAGACCTATCTATCTTTTACACATTCTCTTCCCCATTAAGGAAGATCTCCAGGAAGAAGATATCGCTAAGTTTTCAAATTATGGCTTTATTACATCAGTAGACTGGAGTTGGGCAAACCTTTCCTAACAAAATAATGCCCTTTCTGAACTCAGCTCCCTTTTTTACACCTTTTGCAAGGCAGCCAGAAGTTATCAGCTTCTACCAAAAATGGAGAACAAGGTAATGAATCACACCCCTCACTGGCATACAGAGAAGAGGGAATTCAATATATATGTATTCAACATTATATATACAAATTATTAAGTGCGTAACTGTGAAACGGACAATTTGGAAATATTTAATTTTGACCATTATTGTCTTTTGTTCTTTCTATGAATTAGAAACAAAACATGTATAAATTAATACATTTTAAGGTCGAAGATGCCCTTTAAGTAGTGCACCAACACTAAGTTGTATCTGCAAGTAGTGACAAGTGCTTTGTCTATATACTCTTATGTTGCACTTCCATTACAAACATGACTTTTAGCCCTGTTAATACACAGTTTTATTTTACTATACAGTTTAGTCAGAGTGTTACATTGTTAATTTAAAAATATATATATAATAAAATAGCACCACTGCTAGAAGTCTTTCTCGGCTAGCTGCTTTTTGATCTTTTGTTGTAGATAAATTGCAGAGACAGCACTGCTTAATATAAGCAGGAAGAAGGATATACATGACATTTGGGTGTATCCGGAACTGTACCGAACTCTAAAGTGCTCCTGCCTATTGTTATAGTCTAGAAGAACTCCCTCCAGCTGTGACAACGTGCATAGACCTAAAAACACGTGAAATATTTGATGTCCATGTCCTACAATGTCACAACAACCAGGGAAATATTTTTCCGGAACTGGACAGGAGAAGAAATAAGCACCAATGATGAAGAAAATGATCTGCAGACAGTGGAACCAAAAAGACATATCTGTGCAGCTGTCCAGGTGACAATTCAATATGCGGTGAATGACTGGGCTTATATCTAAGATATACGCGAGACCAGCTGGGACAACCTGGCATAGCTTCCTCATGACTGGGTAGGGTCTTCTGTAACGATATTTTGCATAGCAGCAACCTATGCACGACATCCACCCGAGGAAAGCAGCTCCTGGTAAGTAGAAAGGCCAAGCTACATCATACCACCCTTGGTTAGAGCTGTAGTAGTAGTGAGCCAAGGCACTCCCATACTGATAAGTGCAAACTCCAACATAGTCCATGAAGTAAAACGAATAATGCGCCAGCTCTGATTTGGATTGCAGCAAGTGCGCAAGCATGCTGCAGGTAAGGTACGTTAATGAAGATAACACATAAATAACCAAAGGAAAGGACATAGTTTCCCAGGAAAAAGTCTCAGATTCTGCAAATGCTCGGAACCTGAGGAGAACGGCCAGAGCCACCAGAAGGTGCGTCCATACGTTGACAGACTCGTTGTGCTTCTGGAAAAGACTAAGAAAATAATACTTCCAGTTCTGGTTTATCGGTCTATACCCTGTTTGGATGTAGGGCTCTCTGAAAATTCGAGGAACATCAGACTCCATGACAGTAGAAGGCATTTTTGGGAACCCACTTTCCAAGATCCAAGGTAATCTTCGCAGTTGCTGGGCAATAACAGACAATGAACTGATACATTCCACGATTGCTGTAGACATTGCACAAGAGATGTCCTACCAGATATTTAGCACAATATCCCTTGGACCTGTAATGAAGAAAGGAAAGTTTCATCATAAAACATTCTGAGGATCTTCCAGAATTATTCCAATACACAATTTCGAACAGTATTCCAAATAAATAATAATGTCCTTTCAGACATATTTCTATTTGTAAAATTTATTTATTTATAAAATATTTTACCAGAAAGGGTACGTTGAGATTTCTCTCATTTTCAACTATGTCCTGTCTGATTTTCACATTACTAATCAAGAAAAATCTTTGAGGATAAAACCATTAATATTCGTTAGTCAGTTTTTACCCCTGTCTAGACAGCTTATAGCATCTTCCTGCTGTCTAATTTTTAAACTGGTCATCGAAATCGACAAATAATCAGTTATGGCACACTGCAAATAATCTCCGATGATCAAACGTCACCGCTATACAATGCTTTGTGATGGAAATGCCAAGATACTATCGTGATAATGAAATTTCTTCCAAAATCCCATTCATTTTTTTAGTGACAAGCACAGAGAACTCCTGAGAGCTCATGCTTAATTTTCACAGTAAACATCCTGGAAATATTTTAATTTCAAATAAAAAAATAAAAAAACATATTTACTTGATTATATTTAGGGGTTGGAAAATGTTTCTACTCAAACTAGGCCCTGCCTCCGCCTGCAATGAACTGGATAATGATGTCAAATGCTAGTAAACATTTAAAAGAAAATGGAGAAAAAATAAAAAGAAAGCCAATTGGGCAACCTTACCAGTAGAGTTCATTGTCATTGTCCCAGTTTAGTAGCAACCTATTGTTAAGCAGTTTGATATTAAAGGAACACGCCAATTATAAAAATCAATATTTTCTTAAAAATTGGTTGTCTTCCTTTATTAGTTTAGATTAATGGCCCTCATTTAAGAAAAAAAAAGGGTTAAAACTGCAATTAAACTTATCTTTAATCCAGGACCACTGCAGCCCAATTCACCCTCGATGAAGTTACCAACTTGAAATGATTCTTATATGGAAGTGCTGAGAACAACTGGTGCATTGCTGGATCCAGCATACATGGATACAAGATGTAGCATAGATTCAGTTAGTGAATCTATTCTACTCTGAAGCCCGTATTGGCTTTCTGTCTGTCAGTCACTACAGCAGTGGGAATTGTGAGAAGTGCCACTTCTCAGAAACAGAATGACAGGTCTGCAGGACCAGGATCTTTTCTTCATTGCGATTATATGCTTTTGGTAGTTAGACTGTCTCTTTAACTAAGGGTCTTCTCGGTGCTGAGGGACCATCATATCTGGGCTTCATTGATAATGCAGCTATAACACATATGCAGAGGCGTAACTAGAAACCACGGGGCCCTGGTGCGAAAACAGTCCTGGGCCCCGCCTCCGACATCTACCACCACGCCACCCTCCCCTCATACGTCTACCGTCCCCTTCCCATACGTTTTCCCCTTCCCCCCACACATACAAACAGATACAGATGCAGACACACACATAGACACACACACAAACACATAGACACACACACATATATACAGACACATACATTCAAACACACACAGACACATATATACAGACACACACATATATACGAACACACACACATGCAGACACAGACACACATACATACAGACAGACATACATACAACACACACACACATACGTACATACAGACACACATACAAATAGACAGACAGACAGACATACACACACACAGACAGACATACACACACACACACAGACACACATACAGACAGACACACAGACAAAGAGACACACAGACAGGCAGTCACACATACAGACACACACATCCAGAGAAACATTCATATAGACACACATACCTTTCCCTGGGGTACAGTGGCTCAGCCTGATGGGTGTTCCCACTCTGACTCCCTCCTCTCCTTCCTCCCGCATGGCTCCCGGTGGTAGCTGGGAGGAAGTGACCGGGGCAGTCACTTCCTCCCAGTATCTGACATCATCAAAGGGGGTCCGGTCACGCTGCTAAAGCGCTGACCGGGCCCCCTGGAAATACATAGCATCGGGTGGCCCGAACAGCATGGGCCACCCAATGGGCCCCTGAAAATGCGGGCCCGGCCCGCGCGGTGTAACGGCCAGGTCGCAGCTGCGACCCCTGCGACCACGGTAGTTCCACCACTGCACATATGCATTATCAATTGAATTGAAAATGTTTCCAATTCAGTTAATTTCCAGCTCACATACCAGCTAATTTACCCTGCCTACCTACTGGGTATCTGGGATTGAGGCTGCATTGAGCCCTGGCAAAGGGGCGGACCTGCCCCTAAAGTGGGTGGCCAGGCTGACTGACAGTCTGCCCCTGCCTACAGACCATGCATGGAGCGCTGCTGAAGTTCTCCGAGCACGGTCCTAATCTCCAGTCGCTTCCAGATTGCAAAATGTGGGGAAGTTCTATGTGACCTATTTTTGCAGGGTCTGTACCCCAAAATGCAGGACTGTCCCAGCAAATTCTGTTGAAACCTATGAACTATTTATTTTTAACCATTGCAGTTGCCTGGTCAATCCCTGACAATTCTCAGTTTGGGTTCCATGTGCAAATCATTCTGGGAGCATTTGTATTCTGTATGTATTCTGGGAGCATTTCACAACAAATCAGCAATTCATGCTAATGACACTGGCTTAAAAAAAAACAAAAACCCAATAACAGCTGTCAGTCCCTATTAGTATGTCAGTTGACTTGTACAATATCTACATACAAAACATACTGTGTCACGTATCACCATGCAATACTTTGCTGTAGTTCAACTTGTTTTGTCTTTACAGAGGCAATGCTACGAGTTCTACTCAGGGTGTGAAGTTAAATGTAATGACGTTATAATTGTCTGCAAACAATGTTTTAGGTGGAGGGATAGAAACCTATTAATGATAGTTTACTGGCTGTTTGACGTTGCCGTGGTACACAAAACAAAGCTGCTGGATACCATGAAACACACACACAAGTCATTGCTTAACAAGCAAACAGCACTCACAGAACACATGTTCAATGTGAGCACACACACAAAATTCTGATAACTGATACAACGTTATCTATCCTTTGAAGTGTCAGACGTAAGGAACCAGACTCGATGATGCATCTCAACAGTATGGAACACAGTCTGACCAAGGAATGTGCCATACTGTAGTCTTAATAATATATGAAGACATATACACGTGGCCCAGTCCTGTCCAACCATAGGATTTCCAGATCCACCATGTGTTTTTTTAAGGCTAGTCTTCATTTATTCATGAGCAGTCCTGTCCTGTATGTAGCAATTATATGCAGGAGGGACATTTAATACCTAATCAAAGTAGTTAATTTAGGTTCCTCCATGATTAAAGTAGTGATTTCTAAACTGCAGTATATGAATTCTGCACACAACAGGGCAGCACCATCTCAAAAATTGAAGTATAAAATGTCCAGAAAACATGGTGGCTTTTGCAAACCTGGTTGGCCTAAATGTTGCAACTCAGCTTTTAGTTAACCACAATTTACGTTTTACTGGTTTATACGCTAAACAGAAAGTTGTAGTGACCTGTAAACTGAATTATACATTTAAGGCCAAAATAGATGATTTGGCAAAATTCTCCAACCCAACTATAGCCACAGGTTGGCTATTTTGGCCTTAATTTAGCGATCTGATTTTTAAGGCTCTGTTCTCACTTTAGAACCTAAACTACATACTATGCTCACATCCACCCCTAGTACAGATGATTTCATTCATAAGGTGACAACATACAATACCATGTTTCTCACAATATGGAATCTATAATCTGTTTTAACAAGGTGCACGCCTCTCATTCATCGCTCTGAGCAGAGCTTCATAGAACAGGTTTATATATTCTATAAAAAAAAACTCAGGCTCCGTGATCAGAAAAAAGAGGAGAAAAAGAACTCCAATAGATCACAGCGAGCTAAAATAGGTGGAATTAGAAGGCCTCACTGACGGCAGTTAGCTAGCAGGTGTAATAAGAAGCCCATAGACCACAGCGAGCCAACAGGCGGTATACGAAGCCCACAGAATGCAGTGAGCTATTAAAAGGACCACGGTGCCCGACAGGGCCCCTGGGTGGTCCGAAGTGTAAGGGCTGCCCAATGGGTCAGCCTAGCTTGCGTGCCCTGTCCAACCTAAAGCAGTTGTGCAGTGTGATTGACTTTTTAGTATATCATAAGCCAAAACCGTCTCTCCTTGTCAGTGCAGACAGAGGTGAACAATAGTCAGAAGCTGAGAATCACTGGGAATACAGTCTAGAGTGTACATGTTAACCATCACTTCACTGTACATCTCACTGTCTTCCCATCATACACAGTATAACTCTTTAAGGGTCACTACAGACCCAGTGCTTCTACAGAGCACCGCAATTGTGGAACGGCCTCCCGCACAATTTTAAATCTTCCCTAAGCCTAAAGTCCTTTAAGAGATCCCTCTCTACATACCTCAAAACAGAATGCACCTGTCATGGTTGATTATATATTTCCTACCTGTTCTATGTTACATTTTGTATTTATTGTGTATTAATATTGTTTTTGTATTTTATCGTACCCTAATGTAACAATGCAATGATTTGTGGACCCAGGACATACTTGAAAACAAGAGAAATCTCAATGTATCCTTCCTGGTAAAATATTTTATAAATAAATAAAGCACTTGAGATTGCTGAATGTGTGCCCTCTTCTTTCATTTTACAAAAAAAGTGCAGATTTCAGTAGAAATTGACATTTATCTAAACTGACCTGGTTATACCCTCCTGGCTGTCAATTAGACAATAGGTTCCTGTTACGTCCTGGTTTGTTTAACTCAGTTAAGCTAAACTCAAGAGGCAGCAATTGCCCAGAGCACCTGCCTTGCAAAGACTTCTCATTGAGCTGCATTGGGAAGTCTGTGATTGGACAGCCACAGAAGGCCTAGGCAGGGTTAGTAGGGGAGGGCTTGCAAACGTACCCCAACGGTAAAAAGCATAATTAAAAGTATGCGTGGTTTCATTGGGGATGTATCTACTAAACAGTGATTTTGATTTATTTTTTTATTTGGACAGTGGAGTGTCCCTCTAAGATGAATGGTAGTTTTGTATTTGTTGTACACTTTTGATTGTAACAATATGGTGCAGTGTGCAGGATTAATGGTCTTGTTATTGCTAAGTAACGGGTTTCCAACACAAAATTCCATTTGTCCCTTTGCCCTTCCTGTTTCAGAGTATTATTTTGGTGCGTCAAGAGTGATTACAATCAGCATTGAGTGGTTAATGTACACAATCAATAGATCCCATGCATTTCATATCTTATCATACATATTTTATACACAACGTGTTCATGGAGACAATGGCTCATCTTTTTGGTAAATTATTCTTGGTGGAAAATACTAAGAGTGGTGCAATGGGCGTTAGCATCCTGATGATTTCCATGTTCACTGCTCCACTTTTAGAGCATTACATTAGAATAGCTTTTTAGAACTACAGCCCGATGCATCACAAAGCATATTTATCACACATTCTGCCAGAAGCTGGCTAATTTGCGAAAGGTGAAAAAATATGTTTTACCCAACAGTGTCAAAGGAATAAAGGAAGAAAGAGCTATTTATTGGGCCCCAAAACAGGGATCTTATCATAGTCTTAAGTACTGGCGTTGGGGAACTCTATCATAACACCTTGTGAGCTGTAGGGTGCAGGCTATGGAGTGTGCCTCTCGTCTTTCCTACCAGGCATAGTGCCAGCGGGGTGCCAAGCTCCCTCCACTCCATTCAAACAGATTAGGGTTCCTGGAGATCCAGCGCATAAAAAAACCAAATAAATATTTACACCCAAATCAAAGGGTATGAAGAAACATTTACATTGATTGATTCGTGTAAGGCTAATGTTGCGGGATGTGACCTACAGTGTATATTCACTAAATTTGAGTACACTGTAGAAAATTAAAATGCGTGTCAAAAACTAGATTTAAATACCAAGCTGTAACTTTAGCAGAGTTAGAATTTTCATGACCAGCTCTCTATTTAGGCCTAATTTTGCCACTAGGATTCCAGCTCACTATAATTAGCCATTAGGCGAACCACCTGACGCCCTGGCTCGGATGGTCCCATGTTTGAGCCTGGCATTATGGCTCTGTATGTGATACATCTCTGTGCTCAGCCATGCGCCCTCTCACTGCAATTGAGGAAGTTTGGTGGTCGGCCCAAAACTCCCTCGCAGTCCCCCGGCACTACTCAATAACTCAGAGCACCACAACCAGGGTATCGAGTCTTTGACTGAGTGCTGGAACAGCAAGGAAGTTTTTTAAGTGATCTGCACCCAATATTGGGGAAGACCACAATACTTCCCCACTGGACCACCAGGGAATGGTCTCCACAGCTCTGCTGGACCACCAGGGATACATAGGTGCCAACAGTCACAAACTTGCTGTGTTATTCCTGCGTTTTGAGGTACTATCCATGCAAATATAATTCCTGGGGACCTGTCCAACATTTTGAAATCTGGGAGATAACCCCCTCTCTCAACTAGCGTATAGAGGAAAGCTCAACCTCTCCTTCACACAGTTCACAGCCCCCTACGCGCACACACACACACACAATGCAGCCGCAACACACACACATACTATGCAGCCACAACACACACATATGCACACACACCATGCAGCTGCAACACACACACGCACACACACAAACTCAGGCACACGCACACCGAGGGCTCTAGGAGGTGGGCCCGATCTTGCATTCTGCCTAATCATAATATTAATCTCGATTTATTGTAAGGCAATTACTGACATTCACACAAAAAACGTTTCAAAAATAAAACATATAGTACAGCGTATATTTATAGACATACAGTGTTTTCACTAAAATTAGAATTTTTCAAGAATTCAACATAAATTTCAAATTAAAGGCGAAAATATCCAAAGTGGAAAAATTCTCCAAATCAGTTAAGGCTTCGTAAACCTTAAATTTGAAATTCACTTTGAATTCCCGACAATCCTCACTTCAGTGAATAAACCTGATAATGTGACATGTTTATAAGAAGCCATGAATTACAACATATATTTATCCCATGTACAGCCCTATAAGCAGACTAACAGCCCCCATACTCCGTATATAAATGCTTTCCTAGAGTAGCAATTGGAAAAAAATCTGTCGAATTTTGAAGCTGTCTGGAAATATTCAGAAATCAGATTTGGTTTTGATTTTGCAGTATATCCACCCATTTCTACAAAAATCTATCATAAATGTTGCCATTGGTAGCGATACGATTTTAGGTAGCATTCTTCCCTGGCAGTTAGAGTTCATAAAGTTCTATTTTAGGAAGTCATTATTACATTCCATTTTTTTCATATAATATTATATCTTTGTCCTGTCCTCTTACCCCTGTAACTGGCACAGTGGCTCTCGGTCTCATTCACTCTCAGAAGTCCTTCGTGACGTTACAAAACAATGAAACCAGCTCAACAACTCTGGGCTTTTAAAGGCATACACACCTACTTCCTTATCTTGTTTTAGTGGCTGTAACCAGGCAGGTATTGTGTGGGCGTTACACAAGCAATGAATTACACAAACCTGTCATTTAGTACAAAAATAAAGAATTATTTCCAAGAGCTCTGATACTCACAATTATTTATGTATTTTTAGAAGGAGGTAGGTACGGGTTATTTTAGGTTCTGAGACTTATCTCACAGTTATTGAAATGTGTATTTATTAGTAACTATTTTGAATATGATTGCTTTTGGGCAGAGCAATCTAGAATGTTCTTAAATCACACAACCCTCATATCCCCTAGCTAGGGAGCTTAGAAAATACATAAGACGCATTAGTACAATGATTCAAATGCCAACCTGTTAATAAACCCACAGCACCTTACGAAAGGTTGTTGACATTTTGAAATCGCTGTGATTGATCACAAGCAAAGCAGTTATTTTGTACATGGTAAAACTAAAAACGAGACACTCACAACCTGGAAAATGCTATTACATTTTTATTACATTTCTAGAGTATAACAGGGATCTAGAGTACAAGCGGGGATTACCCAATTTTTCTAGCATTTCGACTCCATTCCTGAAACCTAGGAATAAGGCAAAAATGTAATTAGTGGTGCAGTTATGCATTCTCTCTTTAAAGGACCACTATAGTGCCAGGAAAACATACTCATTTTCCTGGCACTATGGTGCCCCCACCCTCAGGGTCCCCCTCCCGCCGGGCTCTGGGGAGAGGAAGGGGTTAAAATCTTACCTTTCTCCAGCGCCGGGCTGGGAGCTCTCCTCCTCCTCTCCGCCTCCTCTTCGGCTGAATGCGCATGCGCGGTAGGAGCTGAGCGCGCATTCAGCCAGTCTCATAGGAAAGCATTCATAATGCTTTCCTATGGACGCTGGCGTCTTCTCACTGTGATTTTGGTTTACTTCTCTAGCGGCTGTCAATGAGACAGCCACTAGAGGCTTCAGAGGCTGGGTTAACCTATTTATAAACATAGCAGTTTCTCTGAAACTATGTTTATAAAAAAAAAAATGGGTTAACCCTAGCTGGACCAGGCACCCAGACCACCTTATTAAGTTGAAGTGGTCCGGGTGCCTAGAGTGGTCCTTTAACACATACCTAATTAACACTCATCATCATTCCTCATCAGCAACATATAAGTAAACCAATTTCACGTAAAGTGAAACCAATTACACAATCTCAGACATTTAAATAGATTTTTACTAGCCCATGTAGACACACAATAACACACATAACTAGCAAGTCACATACATACATCAGATGGATTTTGTGGGGGGTGGAGTTTGGCCCTACAGGAATCAATGTCGCAACATGGTGTCAGAGTGTGAGGGAGAGGCGGAAGCTGTCTCTGTTTCTGTATGGCCCAGAGACAGCAAGCTTCTCCACCGAGAATAACTCTGCACAGCCTCCATCTGCAAACACCAGTAATATTAATCTGGGTGGAGGTGAGGAAGAATAATTAAACTGGCAATTATGTATGCTATAAAGAGGCACATTGTACTGAATAAATAGCTTAATGCGCTTAAATAAAAAAGAATAATTACTGTATTCTGCAAACTAATAGAAAAGCTGTCACGGCTTCTATTTTACCTTGCTCAGTATTTTTATTTGTCTTTTCATGATTTAAAATACTTTCGAGCTGAACTACATATCCCATAAAGCATCACTGAGCAAGGGTTTATGGGTTATATACGCTCCCAACACTTTCTAATCTATGCAGAAGATGCAGATATTCAGCACGAGGGCACACAGGACGAAGCCTCTACACGCCATGATGTAAGTTGCACTGGGTCACGATACGTTAAAGACTTACTCATTGATAAGCATATCTCTCTTGTAGTGCCATAGGAATATTCTCACGGGAGCTGATAGGAGAATTGTTAAACCGTTTTCACTGGATATCCTAACCCACCCAACCTGTGAATCTTGAAATCTGACCATAATGCTAGCCAATAACTCAGCCGCCCTATGAGCCAGTACGTTAGCCAGCGAGCCTCTTCCCTAGCCCTACACACCAGCCAGACCAGCAAACAGCTGCATTGCACACTCGGACCCTAGATCCCTTTAACTTATAAGAATGAAGGGCAGGAGAGGTTATTTCGTGAGACTAGCCATTCCAATGCTGTCACTGTCAAGACTTGATTGTGAGACAGAAATTCCTGGAGAGAGGTTATGATACCAAACCTATGAAAATAAGTGTGGCTCCCAAGGAATAACTGAAAACTAAAACAATAATGAAGAACAGTTAACCGTTTGACTCACACACTTTTCCTCTGGAAACTTGTTTGGCAAGTAAATAAATACCTGATTCAGAAATGAATTATTACAATGACAAATGCATGCATCTATTCTCCCATAATCCTCAATTGTTCTTAATAGCCTGGGGATTGTGGAGAAATTACTGAAAATGTATTTAAAAATAGTGCAAAGTGTATGCTTTATGGTAAGATATGGTGAAAATGTCACCTCCACCTTAACCCCTTAAGGACCAAACTTCTGGGATAAGAGGGAATCGTGACATGTCACACATGTCATGTGTCCTTAAGGGGTTAAAGTGGCAATGCCACAGTTACGGTATACAATGAATTTGATTGATCAGATAATATACACCACCATCTTAAAATATTAATGATGATATGTTTTACCTTTTTATACAAATACATTATTACCTTTCTTTTTTTTTCTGCTTGGGGAGATAATTTGACATTTACTTCAATAGAAACTCATTTCACAATTATGTTGGGAAATTTTCCTTAGAATAAGAAGGGATCATGGGAAATGTAAGTTGATTTGCATGGAATGCCTTTGTTTCAGTTGTGGAGTGACATCATATCAATCTAAATGTATTAGAACACAGTAACATGTAAAAATGGAACACACATCCAAAAATACATTTAAAAAAAACTTCAACTAAGTTATTATAAACTCACATCCACTCACTATTTAAAGGGACACTATAGTTTTATGTAGTTGTTCTGATGTCTACCACCTATCCCTGCAGACTATTTAATGTAAACACTGCCTTTTCTCTGTTTACATTGCTGCCTAGTAACACCTCTAGTGGCAGTCACTCAGATGGCCACTAAAGGTGCTTCCTGGGTCAGTGCTGCAAAGTGTGCAGCAGCACTGACGTTTAGCGTCTCCATGTTATGCATGGAGATGCTGAACGCTTCCCATAGTGATGCATAGGCGATTATGATTAGTGCAGAGCAATGTTTTGTCGCCATGCGCAATAGCCTCCCAAATATATCCTATGAGAAGGCATTGGACTAGTTCAGTGATGGCGAACCTATGGCACGCGTGCCACCGGTGGCACGCCAGGCCCTTTCTGTCGGCACGCGGCCACAGGTTCGCCATCAATGCAGAGTAGGCGCCTGCCTGCCCGAAACGGCAGGCGCCTACTCTGCTTCCGTGTCGGGAGGCAGGGGGAGGGCTCCAGGAAGCAGCTCCCCTGTCCTCCCGCGCGATGCTGTGTGGAGCGTTGCCGCACGTTACCATGGCAACGCTCCACACAGCATTGCGCGAGAGGACAGGGGAGCTGCTTCCTGGAGCCCTCCCCCTGCAGTGCTTACCACCACCGGACCACCAGGGATCGCTGTGTCCCCCCCCCCTTCCCCCTCATTAAAGGTAAGAAGGAAGGAGGGAGGGAGGGGGGGTATACTGACACAGCACCCTTACCCCCCTAGAAGTAGCCCTACCACCCAGCACCCCTACCCTCCCCAGCAGCACCCCTACCCCCCCCCAGCAGTAACCCCTACACTCCCCAGCAGCACCCCTACCCCCCCCCAGCAGTAACCCCCCACCCCCAGCAGTAACCCCTACCCCCAGCAGTAACCCCACTCAGCAGTAACCCCCACTCCCCAGCAGCAGTAACCCCCACCCCCAGCAGTACCCCCACCCCCAGCAGTAACCCCACCCCCCAGCAGCAACCCCTACCCTCCCCAGCAGTACCCCCACCCCCAGCAGTAACCCCTACCCCCCAGCAGTAACCCCTACCTCCCAGCAGTAACCCCCACCCTCCCCAGCAGTAACCCACCCCCAGCAGTAACCCCTACTCTCCCCAGCAGGCAACCCCACCTCCCCCAGCAGTAACCCCCTACCCCCAGCAGTAACCCCTACCTCCCCAGCAGTAACCCCTCACCACCCTCCCCCAGCAGTACCCCTACCCCCAGCAGTAACCCCTACCCCCAGCAGTAACCCCCACCTCCCAGCAGTACCCCTAACCCCTAGCAGTGTAACCCTAACCCCAGCAGTGCACCCCCTACCCCCCCTAGCAGTAACCCCCACCCCCTAGCAGTAACCCCCTCCCTCCCCAGCAGTAACCCCCACCCTCCCCAGCAGCACCCCCTACTCCCTCCCAGCAGTACCCCTCACCCTCCCCGGCAGTACCCCTACCCCCAGCAGTACTCCCTACCCCCAGCAGTACCTCCTTAACCCCCAGCAGTACCCCTTTAACCCCCAGCAGTACACCTACCCCCCACACAGTACCCCTACCCCCAGCAGTGTACCCTACCCCCCACAGCAGTACCCCCTACCCCCCACAAACAGTACCCCCAGCAGTACCCCTACCCCCCCCCACACAGTACTCCCAACCCTCCCAGCAGTACCCCTACCCCCACACACAGTACCCCAACCCTCCCAGCAGTACCCCTACTCCCCTCACACAGTACCCCTACCCCTCACACACAGTACCCCTACCCCTCCGCAGCACCCTTACACATATAGCACACACACACAGCACCCCACACACACACACACACAGCACCCCTCACATACAACACTCACACACACACGCACCCCCCACCTCAATGCAGTATGTGTGTATTCAGCAGTCTGTGTGCGTGTATTCAGCAGTCTGTCTGTGTTTGCGTGTATTCAGCTGTCTGTGTTTGCGTGTATTCAGCTGTCTGTGTTTGCGTGTATTCAGCTGTCTGTGTTTGCGTGTATTCAGCAGTCTGTGTGTGTATTCAGCAGTCTGTGTGTGTACTCAGCAGTCTGTGTGTGTACTCAGCAGTCTGTGTGTGTACTCAGCAGTCTGTGTGTGTACTCAGCAGTCTGTGTGTGTACTCAGCAGTCTGTGTGTGTGTACTCAGCAGTCTGTCTGTATGTGTATTCATCAGTCTCTGTATTCAGCAGTCTTGTGTGTGTGTATTCAGCAGACTGTGTGTATGTATTCAGCAGTCTGTGTGTGTATGTATTGCATTTGTTGGAGATACTAATAAATATAAGCTTAATTTTATCTATTTATATCATTATTTAAAATTTGTATAATTGAACTATCTGTGTTCTTTTAAAACAAAAGTTATTAGTTCGGACAACAGTACGAGTTGTTTTTTTCTAAACTTAAACCTCAGTATTTGGGTTTAATTGCCGTGTTGGCACTTTAAGGAGAAAAAATGTTGGCATGTATTGCGGTTTGGGCACTCGGGCTCAAAAAGGTTCGCCATCACTGGACTAGTTGATATCATCAAATTTGATGATCTCGCCCAAAGAAGCAGTGTGGAGCAGGGGGCAGGGGCAACAAGACTGGCTTGACACTGGAGATAAGGTGAGTAAAAACTATTTTTTGAATGAAAGCTGGTCGCTTAAACAGCATTTTTAAAAGTACACTTTGTATTCATGACACTATGGGAATAAGCCCATTTGAATCACAGCATTTTAATAACTGAATAAACACACTGTAAAGGGCGTCTGCAGCTCTGTGCTGAATCATTATTCATTACTTTGTTATCACATATTTCCTCGAAAGACAAATACCACACCTGACAATGTTACTATGAATCACTTTAGCAGTACATACAATGAACCACAGCAACATACAGCAATGTATAGCAACCTATAGCATTGTCTACATACAAAGCTGTTAAGAAATTGTCTCCTGTAGACTCAAAAATGCAACCAGCTCGCTTGGTGTGTGGTATCGGCCCCCTCCCTATGTTTAGTTAGCACCTTGTCTATTTTTCGTTGCCCACCTACCATTGTTATTGATATTATGAATTTCAAATTAAAGGGACACCATTGTCACCAGAACAACTATTTTAATTGATTATGGTGGCTATAGCATGTCCCTGCAGGCTCTTCAGCGAAAAGGGTGTGTTTACATTGCTGCCTAGGAACACTTCTAGTAGCAGTAACTCAGACGCCTCCTAGAGGTGCTTCCTGTGTCTGTGCTGCACAATGAGCACTGCATGTAGACGCTGAACTATACTCATGTAGATGCATTGATTCAAGTCGTCTCTATGAGGAGATGCTGATTGGCGCAGAGCAGAACAGTTTTGCTGCGCATGCTCAATAGCCTCCCAAGTGGATTGGCTGAGATTATCAAGTATGATGATCTCAGCCACGGAGGTTGGACCATCCGCAGCAAAACTGGTGAGGCGATAGAAAAATTTGTGCACACTCACCCGTTTACTGCAAGGGGAGCAGGCCGGGGATATAAATGGTATTTTACCACTATAGAGTCAGGAATACAGGTTTGTGTTCCTTACACTATTGTGTTCCATTAAGAGGAGGACCTCTGCGATAACTGGGTTTATTGTTTCTTTTTCGTGGAGTGCTAAATTGTGTGACTTTTGTACTTTTTGTGCTTTTGGGGCTACTCCGTGGGATGATATTGGTACCTTTAATTTATGTCTCACCAAACTCAATAAGACATCCCACACAAATACAAAAATGACTGTGTGCATCACCTGCCTATCTCAAGCTGGACTTTGAGAGGCCCCCCTTGGGCAAGGAAACTTGAGAAATCATGTTTCCACAACTATCCCAGAGTTCCCAGGTTGACATGAAAATTAGCACATATAGGTATTGTGTTCCAGACTTCACCCTGCGTTTCTGCAGGTGCCCTTAGCAATGGACACAGTTTCAAACACAGCTTTTTTTTTTTTAAACTAAAGCATGGGTTATGATCAAAAAGGATCAATTACTAGAAACCAGCCGTGGGCTGTACAATTTCCACATTAACTAGACAACCTATTCTCTAACTGGAAAATTAGCTCATATGTAAAGGGCTACTGTACAAATTAGTAGCAGTAGGTGTCTAGTAATGAGCCTCCACTGCATACCTCCCAATGTGAGCAGTCCCTGAATTTGGACGTCGGTGGGTGGGGAGTAAAGGGGAGGCCCAGCAACACAATTGCACAACTGGCTCTGCCCAAAAGAGTGCAGAACCACCGGAGAGGGGGCATAACCATCCATATTACAGCTTCTACTGATGCACATGTACTATGATTGTTGGGGGAAGCCCCCTGATGTCCCCAAAATCAGGACACCAGGGAACTAAGGCAGATGGCAAGACTGGACCAGAAAATTGGGACCATTACACTGAAATTGGGACAGTTGGGAGGCATACTATCAGTTTTCTGCAGTTTGACAACAACTGAAGCATCTCTGCAGCACTCTGGAGCTGCCTGGATAGCATAGATTTATACTTAAAGGGACAATACAGTCACCAGAACACACCAGGCTGTCTGCCAATAATTGTAGCTACAGCTTAATGTAGTTGTTCTGGGATCTACTGTCTGTCTCTGCAGGCTTTTTAATGTAATCAGTGCCTTTCAGAGAAAAGACAATGTTTACTTAGTAACACCTCTAGGGGCAGTCACTCAGACAGCCACTAGAGGTGCTTCCTGGGTCAGTGCTGCACTGGTGTGCACACTGTGCAGCACTGGTGTTCCGCATATCTGCGCTCTGCATGAAGGCACTGAACTTCCCCATAGAGTTGCATTGATTCAATGTATCTCTAAGAGTATTTGCTAATTGCCGCAATGCTGTATGTTGCCATGCATGCACAATAGCCTCCCAATGCTTTTCTATAGGAAAGCATTAGATTGGCTGTAATCGTTAAATTTGATGATCACAGCCATGGAGGCACAGCGGGGCAGAGTCAGCTGTGACAGGACCAGCGCAGCACGGGAAATAAATTGAGTAAAATTATCTTTTTAACAGGTGCAAGCGGATCTGGTCACCTAAACAGTGCATTTACAACTATAGTGTCAGGAATACATATTGAGTATGTATTCCTGACCTATAGTGTTCCTTTAAGCTTCCATTATAAACAAAATGTCAGTAATCTTTTGGGATACAGCTATAGCCTGGGTACATGTAAAGATGTATACATTAACATTCTTTAAGCACAAATTAATATTATTTTAGGATGCAGGGTCTACAGCGCACTTTATTGTCTACATCAGTTGGGGCTCGTCCAGAAGGACACCTCGGGCAATGTCCCACCAGTTTGTATGTGGGGAAAAAGTTTATTTTCAGTAGTTTAGAAACACAAGATTATATTTCTGGAGGGAAAGGTGTAGGGAAAAAATGTGTGTCCCTTTTTTTGTTATAGGTTTCAGTTCTGCAGGATTCCTTTCCCCTCACTGGTGTCAATCTAGAGATTCTTTCTTAAAGGGATACTATAGTGCCAGCAATACAAATACCATGGCACTATCGCTCCCCCTGCCTCTCTTCCCCCCCCCCGCCCTTCAGTGCCCCCCTCTCCCCAGTGAATAAAGGGTTGAAAACCCTTTATTTACTTATCTTATCCCAGCTCCGATGTCCCTTGGTGCTAGGTCAAAGCTCCTCCTCCTTCTCTATTCCTAGACAAGCGGGCTCTAATGCGTACTGGCAATAGGGACACTGCACCCAGACCACTTCAATGAGCTGAAGTGGTCTGGATGCCTACAGTGTCCCTTTAAAAACATCTATGCATGTTGAAAATGGTTTAAAATCTGCCCTGTTTCAGCAGCTTTGCACATGCCTAGTGTCCATTAAGAACGAATTTCAGGAATTTCCATTAAGTTGCCATTCGGGCAGCCAAGCCAGCTGCCCATGAGTGGAGGCATGCTACTGGCCTCTCTATTTAGGGACCATCATTGGCTAACAGCACCAGGGGGTGGGGTTACAGTGCCCACAGCAAAGAGAAGCAAGAAGCCATTCTGTAGTAACACAGGGAGAGCACAGCAGCAGATCTGGGCCCCTATTAAATCTAAGTGTATAATATTATCTTTTCTCTCCCCCAATAGCCCCAGTGGCTGCCTGGGGTCTGATTAAAGGGACTCTCCGGTGCCATGAAAACAAACCTGTTTTGCTGGCACTGCAGGATCCTGCAGTGCCCCCCTCCCTTTCAACCCCCCATCCCATGCTGCTGAAGGGGTTAAAACCACTTCCGTGACTTACCTGAATCCAGCGCTGATGTCCCTGGATGTCAGCCGGCGGGGGAGACCTAATGCGCATGTGCTGCAATGGCTACACGCGCGCATTAGACCTACCCATAGGAAAGCATTATTCAGTGCTTTCTTATGGGGAATCTGGCGGCGCTGGAGGCCCTCATACATAGCGTGAGGACGTCCAGCGTAGTTTAAAATACTTTTTCGTGTTTTAAGAACACGGAAGTCCCTCTAGTGGCTGTCTGATAGACAGCCACTAGAGGAGGAATTAACCCTGCAAAGTAATTAATAAAAACTGCAATATTTACCGTTGCAGGGTTAAGGGTGATGGGAGTTGGCACCCAGACCACTCCAATGGGCAGAAGTGGTCTGGGTGCCTGGAGTGTCCCTTTAAGCAAGGGAGTTTACTCAGATCTATAATTGCTGTATAAAGCCAGGGAAGGCCAGAGGTGACAAGGGGAGGGGACATTTCTGACAAAGAGCACTGCCCTGCCTGTCACTAAGAGTTTAAATAACTATCACTGCACATGCCTGAAATCTGATTTATTGTTCCTTCATATCTTGTTTATATTATCATGTGATGGTTTTCCAAGACCTCCATCTAATGCACTTACTTGGATTCCTGTTTAGTGGAGAATATATCATTTTATTTCCATCAGGCTTTGTTTACTGAAGTGATAATTCAAAGTAAGTGAACATCAGTTTTCAACCACCCAACCTTGCTTGAACATTGACTGTAATGGCACCCCGGCATAAAAGGGGTTAAAAGCCGTTTAGGAGATATTCCCTTCCAGATTTACAGGCAGCTACTGTAGACACCAATCCACCGAACCGGAGAAGCATGTGAATGCCGTAAACAGCTGAACCGGAACCATATGAATGCTGTAAACAGCCAAATAGGAAAAACCATATGAATAGGTTTACACTCCTAGCAGTCAAACTGGAACAGCATACAATAAATACCCCCAAGAACAAGACAAGGCTCCGTTTTGAGGGTTAAGCAGTGAACAGACAGAGCTGTGGGTTTATTGTTCTTATGTACACATTCTTACACATTAGTACCACCCACAGGGTTTTAGAACACAACCAATAAACACATTCAATACACACAGACACTCCCACACAAAATCCTCCCCTCTGCCTGTGATACAATTACTTACACAATGGGTAATGTAATTATAACAAGCAGAGAAATACAGTTTTTCCACTTTATTCATAATTTTAAAAGTATGTATCACATTCGCATAAAACTTAAATTTTCAGAATCAGCATACTCCAAATACAAACATATGTCAAAATCACACAAATTGGTCCAGTGGTTCAAAAAGATAGATCGTAGTCCTTTGTGACCAAATGAAGCATGGCTTTTCTGCCCAAAACCAGTTCCACTGAGTCTTCTATCCTGGAGATAATTGGGAAGTAATACAATTATCTCCAAGGACAGAGGCAAAACTCCATTGAACACATGGCAGCAAAAGACAGTAAAATACATAAAAATATATAACTGTGCAGCCATTGCATAAAACAGGTACATTCAACATATCCCCAGATAGCTCAGATCTGAGCGCACATTATTACTGAATGGCGCTCAGAGCACACACCTACAGTTCAATTGCCATGGAGCCAAAGTCTTTCCCATAGTCTTTCATTATACGAATGGGCTCCATGGCATAGCTATCTGGGGTATCACCACTCAAACAGGGCAAGCACCAGGGGAAAATCAAGTGTTTCAACATGGGGCCATAGTCTAAAGGCAGCAGGCGGGCAACCAGGCTCCTCCAATGCACAGTGGCGAGATTGGTCTCGTCACATTCACGTATCCCTCTTTTGTAATTTTTTTTTTGATGCCTCTTTGAAACACGCGTAGTTTTCACATACATTCCTGAAATATCATGGTTGCTCCACCACCAGACCGACTAGTTCTAGCCTTCTTTTCAAACCGAAATGCACGATAAATGATCGGATAAAATCTAAAACATAACCTTTATTAGTGTAGTTTCCAAAAAAGTAATGACTTGAAATTCATGATAAGTCAAATTCCAAAAGTAAATATTGACTCATAGTGTTTAAAAGAACAATTCTATAGTTTCTCTAATTAGTAAAACCCAACCTGTTTCGAGGCAGTAATAAATATTTAAATGCATCACTCTCGTCTGATGCGGCTATTTCACAGTAATCTCTTGAAAAAAGGGGAAGAACAATAGTAAACATAGTTCTCATCTCGACCACTAGGGGTCATCCTAATGAACTTAACATAGTTCTCATCTCAACCACTAGGGGTCATCCTAATGAACTAAACATAGTTCTCATCTCGACCACTAGGGGTCATCCTAATGAACTAAACATAGTTCTCATCTCAACCACTAGGGGTCATCCTAATGAACTAAACATAATTCTCATCTCAACCACTAGGGGTCATCCTGTGAGTGCTCAGTGAAATTAGCCCTTGGTGAAGACATTCAAACTTGTGTGGGCAGAGGTACAAGAACTGGGTAATAATAACCATCTACCAGTAGTGGTCACCCTTCTACCCAGAACCCATAGTTTCTGAATAAAAATATAAAAAATTTGCAAAAAATAATATACTGTTAAAAAAAGGAAATTAAGGAAAAGGGAGAAACACATCCGAAGTAAGGAAAATTGAACAGGCTTCTCCATTGTAATATTAGACTGAGAAAAACTATTTTGTACCTACATATTTTCCAGCCACTCAATGTTCCCTAATGGCAAAGTGTACCCTGCTAGTGAAGACAAGTTTAAGTCGAAGGCAGAAAGAGCTGTCTAATATTATATTGTGGCACCATATTCGTGACAGCTAGTATCACTGAGCACTCACTAGGATGACCCCTAGTGGTTGAGATGAGGACTCTATATGGCAATCTCAATTAATAGCACAGATTTCACGGTTTATGACTCAGTCTTAAAGGATCACTATAGGGTCAGGAACACAAACATGTATTCCTGACCCTATAGTGCTAAACTCATCATTTAGGTGGCTTGACCCCCCTTTGGCCCCCTATAAAGGTTTAAAACTTATTTCAGCGCCGGGCGGGTTTGCCAGCGCTGGCTCTGCCCCTTTGTGAAATCATCAAAATGGCTGATTTTTAGCCAACCCAATGCTTTCCCACAGGGAAATGTTTACATGAAAATGCCTGAAGGGAGCTATTATACTCACCAGAACAACTACATTAAACATTGAAAATGCAAATATTTAGCCAAAAGTAACAGAAATTGAAAATTCTTCAACTTGGCTATTTTTCCAATTAGTTTTTTATTAAATTATGAAATTTCCTTGTCACATCCTGCCAGTCTGGAGATGTCAGTAAGGTTCCATACGAGGAGACGTAACAATAATCAGATTAAAACTATGCAAACAGGAAAGAAATACTATCACAGGTTAAAATGTATATGCATTTTCCTCAAAGTTTAATATTTAAAGAAACGAGATGACAAAACAGCAACAAAACACAGAGAAACAGACAAAAAAAATAGGAAGAAAAAGCAAAAAAGAAGCAGTGCAGAAAAGAGAAGAATGGGGAAGGGGAAAATGTAAAGAAAAAAAGGGGGGGATCATAGGGGGCATAGGAAAACAAAATGGAGGCGGTGCACCAGCCCGGCACGAACACATGGCGACCGAGCAAGGTAACAAGGTAGGTCCTCTAAGACCGCCAGATTCGATCATGAGCTGCAATGGAGTTTAAATACTGTGAATTGAAGAGAGGACGCAAGGGAATCAGGAGTCTATCTGGGAGGAACAAACAAACCCTTTTTCCTAAATCAATGGAATATTTTTTTTTTTTTATGAACGCATGAGTTAGTGAAATGTTTAGTTTATTAATTAAATGATGAGTATCCTTATTATTTTCCAGTTTTTATTAGTCAAGAAGTCATAGTATACAGACCTGTAGGACAGAGCAAGAAACCGTGAAAGTCAAGACATTTTTGAGGTATAACAGGATAATCTCTGCTCGTTGTGTCCAACAAAGTTCACAAAAAAATAGTGGTGGTGATAAATGTGGATAGAAGAAAGTATATAAATATGAGATTGGGATATGGGAGCAGGACATTATGGGGGAAGGGGTCATCGCCAGTGCTACTGACTGACAGACTATCTGGCAGGCCATCTACATGCAGGCCCATGCAGAGTGCTGCTTAAAGGAACCCTATAACGTTAGGAATACAAAGTTTTCAATGCTTTCCAATGGGGATTTTCAGGACGCCGTACGTTTCACGTGTCGTTTCACGGAGCTAAACTCTGTAAAACTGTAGGAATCGTCTCTGAGAGACAGCCACTAGAGGCAGTCTTAACCCTGCAAGACAAACACTGCAGTTTCTCTAAAACTGTAATGTTTAAAGCTGCAGGGTTAACGGAACAAGGGTAAAGCACCCAGACCACTTCCAGGAGATTAAGTGGTGAGTGAGCCTATAGTGTTCCATTAAGAATTATGTACATGGTTCTAGTGCCTGTTTACCTAATACTGTGCTAATGCCGTGCTGCCCAATGGCACTTCCTTGGTGTTCAGTGAATATCAGGACGGCGGAACACAACCCCAAAATCTGGACTGTTCTGCAGAAAATTGAACTATTGTGAGGCCAGATATGGGTGAGAAAGGCAGAAGAGAGCTATAACACAGAGAAGCTTAAATAAGAAGCAATTTAATAGAGACAACATTGTATCATATAAAAACAAACAAGCATTACAGCAATTCTGGATCCCAACAATCATCCCCTAACAGGCCATGGCATGGGTGAACTAAGGTAGGTACTGAGGGCGAAGGCAGATTTAGTTAGTGTGAGGATTCTCTTTACAGTTGCCCACCCAACTAGCTTGTTAACAGATTGCATGGCCGTGACGTCAACACACTCTTTCTCTCTCACAGCCCCTCACAACACCCCTATTTATTTTCATTCACCTGTTCTACTCTCTTTCACATACACCCTGTCACATTCCCACACAAACAGTCCTTACAACCGTCCTGTTTTCGCAGGACAGTCCCAAACACTCACCTAGTCTCATTCACCCTATTCACTGAATTACATATATTTATCAACCTGGTCACACTTGCCCACCCTGTCACATTTTACCCATTGTTTACCTCCCAGTTCACATACCTCTACCCACCTAGTCACCTACACTAGGGCTGTCAAACATATGGTCCACGGGCCCTATGAATCTCGGGTGCAGCCTAAACTGATGAGAACAGGCCAGCTGGAGAGTTAACCCTTCAGTACCAATGATGGTTTCTGATAACATAACAATATGCTCTTTACAGATCCCATTACAAAATGGAATGATTCACTCAGTTAATGGCTTTAGGGCTGTACAGAGCATCCAAAACGAAAGTAGTGAAAAATGTAATTTTTGCGTAGGGTCTACAATGACTGCGCAGGGCCAACACTTACCGTACTGTGATGGTGGAAAAGTCTAGCATTTACTCATTAAAGGTTAAATGAAGTTGTCATGTCAGGTTCACTTAAATATTGTAACTTCTTTCGTTTGGTATTATTTGTAATGATTGCTGGAAACGTTTCAAGCAAAAAGTCCAAGAACCAGACTTTGCTATTTGAGTGAAATAGGCATTTTTTATGTTTTTCTGCTTGTTGATAACAGGACGGACACTCAGTAAACCAGATTATGTCATCACATATTTACATAGACACAATACTGCGTGTGTTCTGTTTGCCCATCTGCTAAACTGAGTTTATGTTTGTACCAATTAACAGTGTAAAAACATTAAACAGGAAAAATCTATCCCACTATGCCCTCCCATCAGCCCATGTTTGTATTTACCTAAAAGGAGGGCACAGAGCAAAAGACAGTTGGGTGATATGCTTACCAGTAGTATACTTGTGACCAGGACACCACTTAACCCCTTGTCACTAAATCCCCTAGTGAAAGTTATTTTTGTCAAACTGCAACCAAATACGCCTTGCACTATCACTATTCCATTTAACAGCAGTAGTTATAGTGCTTAGAATGTTATATCCCAAGTGTCACTATTTAGGAAGGACAGTCTATTTTGATTTCAAATCCATCTGTCCCTCTTTTCTAGGAGCTCCATACTGTCGGTTTGTCTGAGTGTATAACAGAGCATCACAGCAATAATACTCCCAGTAATGTGTCTGAGTGTATAACAGAGCATCACAGCAACAATACTCCCAGTAATGTGTCTGAGTGTATAACAGAGCTCCACAGCAATAATACTCCCAGTAATGTGTCTGAGTGTATAACAGAGCTCCACAGCAATAATACTCCCAGTAATGTGTCTGAGTGTATAACAGAGCTCCACAGCAATAATACTCCCAGTAATGTGTCTGAGTGTATAACAGAGCTCCACAGCAATAATACTCCCAGTAATGTGTCTGATTGTATAACAGAGCTCCACAGCAATAATACTCCCAGTAATGTGTCTGAGTGTATAACAGAGCTCCGCAGCAATAATACTCCCAGTAATGTGTCCGAGTGTATAACAGAGCCCCACAGCAATAATACTCCCAGTAATGTGTCTGAGTGTATAACAGAGCATCACAGCAATAATACTCCCAGTAATGTGTCTGAGTGTATAACAGAGCTCCACAGCAATAATACTCCCAGTAATGTGCCTGAGTGTATAACAGAGCTCCACAGCAATAATACTCCCAGTAATGTGTCCGAGTGTATAATTTAGACACATTACTGGGAGTATTATTGCTGTGGAGCTGATTGTATAATATAGCTCCACAGCAATAACACTCCCAGTAATGTGTCTGAGTGTATAACAGAGCTCCACAGCAATAATACTCCCAGTAATGTGTCTGAGTATATAACAGAGCTCCACAGCAATAATACTCCCAGTAATGTGTCTGAGTGTATAACAGAGCTCCACAGCAATAATACTCCCAGTAATGTGCTGAGTGTATAACAGAGCTCCACAGCAAGAATACTCCCAGTAATGTGTCTGAGTGTATAACAGAGCTCCACAGCAATAATACTCCCAGTAATGTGTCTGAGTGTATAACAGAGCTCCACAGCAATAATACTCCCAGTAATGTGTCTGAGTGTATAACAGAGCTCACAGCAATAATACTCCCAGTAATGTGTCTGAGTGTATAACAGAGCTCCACAGCAATAATACTCCCAGTAATGTGTCTGAGTGTATAACAGAGCTCCACAGTAATAATACTCCCAATAATGTGTCTGAGTGTATAACAGAGCCCACAGCAATAATACTCCCAGTAATGTGTCTGAGTGTATAACAGAGCTCCACAGCAATAATACTCCCAGTAATGTGTCTGAGTGTATAACAGAGCTCCACAGTAATAATACTCCCAGTAATGTGACTGAGTGTATAACAGAGCTCCACAGCAATAATACTCCCAGTAATGTGTCTGAGTGTATAACCGAGCTCCACAGCAATAATACTCCCAGTAATGTGTCTGAGTGTATAACAGAGCATCACAGCAATAATACTCCCAGTAATGTGTCTGAGTGTATAACAGAGCATCACAGCAACAATACTCCCAGTAATGTGCCTTTTAAAACTACAATAAATGTGTTTAAAACCCAGTCTTTGTAAATAAGATACATTGTTCTTGTTCTAAATTACATTTTAGTTGTATAAATGATTATTAGTAAAGTTACCTACATTTTCTCAGAACAGCCCCACCCCTGGCCACACCCCCACTCACACCCTTAAAATTAAAGTGTTCCTCTTTGTCTATTTGAAATATTGGGAGGTATTAGGTATTAGCTGCAGTCCTGCAAACAACAAATACAGTCAAAAAACTTATAAAAGTACATCTGACATTATAAACAAATAGAGCGTGTGGTAATGTAGTATCTGGTGAATACAGGATTCTGTCTATGGGAGATAAGAGTTTCTTTGAAAACAAAGTGATTGTAATCTCAGTATAATTATCATGTTTTACCCATTTGTTTTGTCCTTGCCTTACCTTTGCATCCTCCACAATAAACGGAAATAGTACGAACCTATACATTTTGCCATTTCGTTTCTTTAAATTTTGTATAAAAAAAATCAATCTGATCCTAAAACCAAAACTACCACCAAACCCTACCTTTATGTAAAAAAACACAATTTTCCTCCCTCTACAAAAAAAAGAGCAACGTAAACTGCAGCACTCACCCTTAGCTCTTCCAACTAACCCCCATTACAGAATAAGATTGAATTTAAAGAGTTACTCCAAGCACTAAAATCACGTGGTCATGGTGTCTTCATGTGCAATGTTTCTTCATTTGGAAATGCTGCACTTACAAAAATTAAACCCTAACATGCTGGAAGTGTAACTCCACCACCAGCAGCATCGTTAACCAATTTGGGGCAATTGTGGCATCGTCCCCCTTCTATGCCAGACCTGCCTTTACCTCATTCTATCTTCCTTAACTTCCCTATCAACGTCAATCAAGGATAAGTCTGAGGACATAGTGAGGACGGAGAATAGAAAGGAGGTAAATCTCAACTTTTTGTTAAAATGATATTATATTATGATAAGGGGTGGACCACCTCAGAAATGGTTACTCTAACCCCAAACCAGTGTTTTATGAAAACATTGGTTTTTGGTTGGAGTAACCTTTTAAGTGGGATTGATACTTCCCATGGTTCTTAATATTATGTTTACTTATCTCAATATTTCTCAAAAAATATATATTTGTGAGGAGTGAAAATTAAAATTAAATGTCTCAATTCGCACTCGTTAACCTGCAGTCAAGCAATGTTATCAATTCTGTCCTTTGCACCTGCCATTCAGCATAGAGAAAACTACAGAGAATGGAGAAAATAAAATGAAACAACGTTTCTACTATTTCTCCACTACATTTACAATGTGTGCCCTCGCTTTGTCTTGTTTGGAATTTGCTAATCTTTAATACACATTTATTAGAAAATGGAGAATCTGAAAATAGTTTAACACAATTAGTATCAACAGCAAAAATATTGGCGAAGCGTACTGACCCTCTTATTCCAGGAAATTATTGCATATTATATCCCTATAAGAGTGAAAAATGTGTTAAAATTACCCTGTCCAAATAATGAAGTGTGATAATGTCACAATGTACAACAAAGTTGTGCTGTGCCCTCAGACTTTATTATTGTGATGCCTATGTGGACCACCAACCATGAGTCAGAACAGTCAATTAAGATGATTGATGGAATTTACCCACTCAAGGTTATCTACTATTAAAAGGTCTGGGAAGAACATAAATGCAATTACAGATAGTGTCTAAGTCTCCTACAGTGCAAATTAGGGATATCCACATATTAGTCAAATACAGGTAGGCACAATGTGAGAGGAGACAGTATGAGAAAGTCCTTGGCTGTCAGTGGTTTGCCTACACAAGCTCACCTCCTTACGAATTTTGGAGTTCATGTGTTTATGCCAGAAAATTAAGGAGGTTCAATAACATATAGGAATTTCACAAAGTGTTCTGCTCTCAATAGTGGGCCCCCGTGGTAAAGTACAGGCTGTTCTGTTCTGGATCTGAAAGGGTAATTTAAGACAAAGTTTAGAGGAAACTTCATTTATTGATTCTCTTAGAGCAGTGGTTCCCAACCCAGTCCTCAAGTACCCCCTAACAGTCCAGGATTTAAGGATTACTCAATTGTGTCTAAGGTGTTTTTAGGGGAAAAACACTTTAGACACAACAGGGTAGTCCCTAAATCCGGGACTGGTATGGGGGACTTGAGGACTGGGTTGGGAACCCCTGTCTTAGAGGCTTCTCTACCCAATGTGGACAATGCATAATCAGAGGTCCAGTTCAGGACCATGTGATCTCTGCAAAAGCAGTGAGGGGACAAATTATAACAACAGCATCATTGGGCAGGATACATTTTAAAATCTGAATGCTTGATTTAATGCATGACATGAAAAAAACTATAAAGTAGACTTGGAGAGTCATTTCATTACGAACTGCATGACTGATGGGGGAAACTTATTATTATTATTGTTTTATTTTTTTTATGAGTATAATGATGTTTACAGATACCCACTAAATGTTGATTTTATTCATTAATCAAGTGAGAAGACCAATAATGGTAGAAAACGTAGGAGCTGTAGGAAATAAAGGGAGAGGAGGGGGCGCAGCACTGGCAACAGAGGGGAGAGGAGCAAGGAGAGAGCTGTTACAAACCCACACTCCCATCTGCCTCAGCCATCAGCAGGACCCTAAGCAAGTCACCTTCCTGCACACAAAAGGTATGTTAACAGGATGGTGGATGCAAATATAACAATTATGACACTTATGTGTCAGATGGTGTGTGTCTAGGTGTCACAGTGTCTGTATCAGTGTGTGTATCTGTGTCAAAGTGTGTGCATCTGTGTCAGTGTGAGTATGTGCGCCAAGGTATATGTCTGTGTGTCTGTGTGTCAGGGTGTTTGTAAATGTCAGTGTTTATATGAATTTGTGTATGTGTCACTGTGTTTATATGTGTGCATCTGTGTGTCAATGTGTAAATATATCTGTGTAAGTTTGTATGTATCTATGTATGAATGTGCAACGCATGTGTATATATACAAAAATCCAAGCAATCAAACACAAACACAGCATGCAAACCCACTCTTGCATTCAAACTCCAAACATATACAAACACCCCTTCACTCAAAACACCAATACTACACACTAGTGTACATCCACATTCAAACACAAACACTACACACAACTCCACACACAGCATTCCAATGGCAACAATACACCCCTACATGCACACATATACTCTATAGAAAGATATGCTTACATTCAAACGCACAAACACTGCTCACAAATACAACCCTGCAAGGATAGGCAAATGGTAGATCCCCAGCTGACATAGAAACTTGGGAGTGGTATGACTGATGGGGTTCTACTTTTTAGCCTCTCTTTTACTAGAGGATAGGCCACAAAAATGTCATACACCAGGGCCCTCTCTACATTAGTTCCGCCACTGATTTCCCCTATCGTAGACTTACAGAGTTATAGAATGACCTACTGTCGTGTTATATTTTAGATTTATTCTGGATTATGGTTTTCTGCCATTGTTCCAGAAATGCATGATACAGGCATTCAGAGAGGCCACCAAAGTGTCCCTATAGTCATACTGTCCAGTATATGATCAGAATTACTCCTTCAGGAAAAGCCAAGCTCCAACTTTAAAGCCCACTTTAACTCTCCTTTTAAAACTGTACCTGTGTTTTATCTCTATTTTAAGTTGTCATGGCCGTTATTTTTAATTGCTAGTGTTTATCAGCAGTTAAAGCAGTCCATAGATGGGCTTTTTTGGAAGCCACATACCGATGGCTGGTTGGTGACTATTGAAGAGATAACAGGATACTCATTGCGTTTAATGCTTAATAAAAGGTGTGCATCCCTCTATGTCTAGTGTTCCTCAACTCATCTTAATCACAGTATGAGTATGGGGGGGGCAAGTGTAAAGGGGTAAGGAGGGGGGGAAGAAGATAGGGAGAAAAGGAGAGATCGGGGGGGGAGGGGACAAGCACCACGCTAAGAGGGGCCCGGGCCCGCCCACGTATTGCCCCCGGCTCTTGGGTTCTCCTCCATTCCGGTGATGTCGGGAGAAGTATATAACTTTAAATGATTTCTTATTGGAAGTGGTTCTGCAAGTAGTTAATTAGAAAAAATGTGGCGAAAGCAATAATATAATAGAACATGTTACAATAATCTGTGGTTAAGTCAATTAAAAAAAACAATCATTTTAGAGCATCTGAGCAAGGTATAGTTAAGTATAGCTGTAATTGCAACATGATAATCTGTTTTTTTTTTCCCGGTGTGGAGTCAGCCATCTTGGAATTATCCCAGTTTTTAACACTGAGTGACAGTTATTAGCGGAAACCAACAAAGCTGCAGAAAGCATTGTTAGCAACCAATCAGAATCTGTGGTTTTCTGAGCAAATCCCTGTATTCCACCATGAAGGAGATATGATATGGCTCTTTATATCCTACATGCAATATAAAATTAAGTATATGTAAATAATAGGCAGTTTTCTTATGTGGTGGGTAGGCAATTACGGAGCAAAGTACCTCTTTAAATAAAATCATGCTTTCCAGAAAGTGTATGCACACAAGGCCAATTTCCTGTATCCGTGACATTACATTAAATCCAATTATACACAAATCCACATTAGTCACCATTAACGTCCTTCAGTTTCTGTGCTCACAATAACCCAATGAGTGATAATGGCGTCCGTTGCAGCAGAATAAGAGATTAATCACCGCAGCTTTCTCAGTGTACAGAGACAAGGCTCCTTTATAAACTAAAATGTCAGGAGCAGAAAAGTGGGAGACGTCCCTTAAATTCCTTAGGAAACACAAACGGAATGTCCCGATGTCCCCTGAAAATTAATTTGCGTGGTTGTGTTCCCAATCCGATTTTCTTGGTTTCATCAATTGTGTAGTTTTGTTACATAAGGAAATGTAGGGGCCAGTGGCATACTAAGGGGGGGGGGACCCCGAGGGGCGGTCTGCCCCTTGTGACACTCACTACGGGGGTGCCATGACCAGGGCGGCCTTAGGATGTGTGAGTTGTGCAGCAGGGACAGGTTGCCATCGCAGCCGCACAGGTCACACACGCAGGGACAGGCAGCCCAGAACTTTAAAGCCGCCACATGTAAAAATGGGGGTGGAGCTAATCGGCGGGGGAGCCAAACCGGCAGCGGGGGCGGAGCTAAACACGGCCTCCACCCGCTGCTGTTATTGCTGCACATCGAGGGGAAACAAGGACTCCCTGCTTTCCCAACAGACTCCAGGAACTGAATCCACCCCTCCTCCAGCCCAATCTGCCATTGTTCTTATTATCCTTAAGTTGTCGAGTTCTGTCATTGTTTTTATTTGGCACATAGTGCTGTGATTATGCGGTGGTTTGCAAATACAGTACAAAATTATTTTGTAGACAGAGGTTATTCATGAAAATGTGAATTTTTAAGAAATTTAAATACAGTTTAGAGTGAATTTAAAATTTGGGCCATAAAAATAGAATTAGAAAACAATACAAATTAAAAAACAACACAAAACAAAAATATCACTAAGACCTTGATTAAATATTTTTGGATAAACTTTTGAAAATGATTTAATATTTTGAATAATATTTGAACATTTTGATTAAAATAATTTAAATAGTTTATCCAACAATAATAAATTATTTAAAAAACGTATTCAAACATATTTAATCAAGGCCCAAAGCTGCTTTGCCGCATGGTGTTCGGAGGACTGTGTCAAAGAGCTTTGCGTTCGTAGGCTTAAACAAAGCTTTTAAATACAGCTTTTCAGCCCATATGTGAGCCTAGATCCAAGATCAGGCATGTGGCAAACTAAAATTCTTTCAGCTGGTGAATAAATGTTTAATATCTAAAATATTCCTCCGGAGGAAAATTCCCAAACCTCTTCTTCAAGGGGACTTTTGCTGGCCTGGACTTAGTCTCTAAAGACTTATCCCTAACTGTTCTCTCAGTCTAATGAGATCAAGTAGTGGACAAAAGCCTTGATTTAATAAGCTTTCTAAATGATTCAATATGGTTAAAAAAACTTTCAAAATGATTCATCTACAGAAGTCACCATGAAAGTCTATAGAATTTTTTGTAAAAAATGAATTTGGAAGGTTTTTCAAACAGTATCTCAGAACTAGAAGTATCCTCCGTAGGTCCCAACCTGCAATCACGACTCCTTTCTTCAGCTTTAATGTGGCAATAAAAAAAAAGGCCAATAGACTATCTTACTGAATTATTGATACACTGAGAGTAACCCTGTTTACGCTGCTAAAATGTGAAATTGTTTTAGAAAAAACGTTTAGATGGGGTGTTTGCGAGACTTGTCCATTATTTATTCATTGTTGGTTTCTATTATAATAAACTGTATTTATGCAAATTCTGGGAAAAGGCATGTAAATTACAGTGAGATAAGAAGATTGCAAAGGGATATAGCTATGCTACATTTAGACAGAGGTCACAAAACGTTAAATATTTGATGCGATTTCAGAGCACGGAAAGGAATTTCAATTCAATGCTTAGTCCCAGAACAAACACATATATAATCTACATGAAAATGTTAAAGTTGCATTGCCACTAAGATGATCTTTACATAAGTCTGTTTAAAACAAAGCTTCATTTTAATTAATCTTAATAATTTATAGTCCGTAGAGCTGGAATTACCACTTATAGATCTGTTTTCTTCCAGGGTGGATGTGGCCATCTTGGAATCTCACACATTTAGCCCAGTAGAACCATTTGGATTGGTTTATATTTGCATTCCCCCCCCCTCCCCCCCCCCCTGAGCATTTTTGTGAACCGGGTTTTTATTTTTTATTTTAAAGTTTGCCGTAATATACTGTATTTTTAATTTTTAACATTCACACGCTAACTCTACACACAAATACACCCCTGCATTCAAGCTCCAGCACTACATACAAATACATGTCTGTGTTAAAGACCAACATTATATGTATACACACCCCTGCATTCAAAAACCAACACTACACATAAATACACGCTTACATTCAAACGCCAACACCACATACAAACATATTCCGTACAAAAACCTGTTTACATTGAAACACACCAATAACTGCTTAGTGCTAAATGCAAACATGGGTAAATGGTAGAGCCCCAGTTGTCAAGGCATTGTGGAGTTGCACGACAGATGGGGATCTACCTTTTAACCATCCTTGCAAAAGGGAGGCCCAAAAAATATTCTTGCACCTCTCTACATTAGGTTGCCACTGCGTTAAGGGTGATGTGATTGCACGCCTGGGTGTACAGGATCCAGGGGGCCCAAGCAAATGTTTTGCCCAGGGTCCAATCAATATTAAAGAGGGCCCTGATAAGCATAGCACAATAGTTAATTCTGACCTGTATGAGTGGGTCGAGAAATTTACACAGATGTATACTCATAGACACCCCTATCTACTAAGGGTACGACTCCTATTTTATAATGTTGTAGAAACAAGAGGAACTCAAGCTACTCAATCATGTCTAACTACTAGAGTAAACAAGGAGGGCCAAATACTTTGAATCAAACTAGTTATGCTCATTGAAGGTTGGTAACTTGGCCATCTAGCTAGACATGTTGATATATCCAAGTGTTACTTTAGATAAACATGCTATCGAGATCGCAGTTAGTGCAACCCTGGGTGCAGTATCAGTAGTATGCTGCACTGCAGTGGCATTAGACAGCGTAAGGAGAGGTAACAGAAATGAAAAGCAAATTATAAGAAAGAATATAAAAGGCAAGGTTTGGTGCATGGCATTTAAAAGCAAAATTAGCTTCTCTGGTTGTTAAGGGGATAGTCCAGCCCGGTATCAGTCCCAGAATCTAGCTTAGCCGATTCGGTCAGGTGGCAGGGTAGCTGCATCACTGGGTTGGTGGTACTGTGAAGCGTGGTGCCTACTCGGCATTTGTGAACAACAGACCTGGATTCATCGAAGGACCAAGCCTATCCCTATCACAGGGGTGACGGAGGTAGTAAGTATTCTTCTCGGCTGGTGCACAGTTCTCCACCTGCATGGACGATGCTTGGAGGTCTTGCCTCATGTGGCACTGCGTCTGGGCGAGCGGTAGTGGGGTCGCGGGAGCTACGTTTTAGTTTTAATGCTCTAAGGAGGCTTTACCGTGCCTGAGTGTCCCATTCTCCTGTTTTTCTTCCACGGCACTGAGCTGTAGGTAGCGGTGACTTGCAGATAGGCTTGTACCTTAAGCCAAAAGACCTGGAAGATTTGGTCCAGCCACCTCAGTGAGTAGGCATAGGTGTCACCGAGTGTCCCCTTAGTCGAAGCTGTGCCACGTGCTGTTGTGTAGGCTACGTCCGCCATCATGGGGATATGGATGCACTGTGTGATCTGCCCAGTGGGCTACAGGGGTAACGTTGGTGTACCTGACTGCACTCCACTCTCCAGGGGGGGACCGGGATATCCCCTGCCAGTCCACAGGGGGGGCTGTGGAGTCGTGCTTAGAGTAGTTTAATTCAGCGGGAGGAGAGCGGATTTCTCTCCCCCGGTCTGAGTCCAGTAGGCCACAACCTGCCGCCGCGGTTCCTGTTACCTTAGGGCGTCGAGTAAGGTATCCACCGGTAGGTTTAGGTGCCCCCAGCATGGGAATTACCTTGAGTAGATGTCACCAGGTTGCCAGCCCAGGATATCACCGGGTATTCGGTATTCGAAGCAGGAGCTCGTGTGATGCATGTCTTGCCTGCTTGCAGTCCAGGCTCCGCCCCAATATACTGTATTTTAATCTGCATTTTTATGAAAAGGGTAGTATATAAATCTTTTTATATATATATATCTATGTAGATTTTCCTTTTCATTATTTCAGATCTATTGTTCCCCACTTACTAGCATGATATTAGTTTGCAGGCCTAGGTAAGAAACATATTAGGGGGAGCGGATAGCTTGGGGATGCTACCAGAGTGCAATATTTATTGGGGAGAAAGAAAATGGGCATGTCCCCCCTTTATTACATATTATTATATTACTAACCCCCAACATGCCACTAATAGGTATTGGGTATGAGGGGATAATGAAACTTCATTCCCCTCACCCCCATAATAATCGGCTGTACTGATTTTAAATCAGAGATCTAATGGTACCAAATAAATTGTGTTTATTCAGTTGAAAAGATTGGATTTCGACCAGAACCTGCTAATTTGCACCAAATTTTATCCATCAGGATAAAAAAAAAGAACTTTAGAAAATAACCCGTATAATTTGCATGGTTTTCACTGAGCAGGAAAGTGGGCTTTTTAAAATAAATACATAATAAAATGTTAACTAGACTCTGCAAGTACTATAACCACTTAATGGTTATGATGCTAAGAAGCTATGGATAATGTTCCTCAAATTTGCACGGCTTCATCCAAAGCCCACTAACAAATAAAAGTGAAATTTTCTGATTATGGTGAAGATTCTTGTACTGAATGAAAATATACTTTGTTAAACTCTGGGGTACACAATAATTTAACCCTTTTGGTGGCTAATTACTGCTAAGCTTTTTGTTGCCACCAAACTGATACAGTGTAACCTGTGCAATGAATGCCCACACCATAAATATAATTTTTATGGTAGGATTGAACTTCTTCATTGTTAGGTTTCCAGCTGGTGGGTGGGGAGTTGGCGTCAAATGCCGGTAAAACCTCAACAGAATGCTCCACCATCGCATTGATTTATAATTAGGGATGCACCGAAATGAATATTCTGGGCAGAAACCGAATCCGAAAATTCAGGATGCCCTTGGACAAAAACCGAAACCGAAAATTACTATTTCCACCAAATTATTTTAAAATATTTTTTTTTATATATAATTTTATCATATTAGACGTTTTAATGAAACACAATCCATGGGGCCCCAGTGCGAAACTGATCCGTGGGTCCACCCCCCGAAACATACATACAGACACAGGCATACATACAGACACACACACACATACAGAAAGACACACACACATACACCCCCCCACACATACATACAGACACAGCCTCACATACAGACACACACACACACAGACACACACAGACACATACACAGAGACAGACACACACATACAGACAGAAAAACACACACATAACCCCCCGACAGACACATACATACAGACACACACACCCCTGACAGACATACGCAGACACATACATACAGACACACAGACACATACACATACGTAGGCACACAAACACACATACATACAGACACACACACAAACACTTACAGACACATACATACAGTCTGTATGTGTGTGTGTCTGTATGTATGTCTGTGTGTATGTGTATGTATGTGTGTGTCTCTGTATGTATGTGTCTGTATGTTACAGACACATACATACAGAGAAAATTGGAAGTAAGAACCAGCGCTTGTATGTATCAATATTTAAAATAATATACCAATGAAATAGATTATAACAAAGATTAGCTGCTAAACATTCAGGCAAAACCTTCTAAACTTGCAAATAAAATATATGAAAAACAAAAGAATGTAGCGCTTATATTTCGAACAATAAGTTATCACCTTTTGGTAACATTGAGGAGACGAAAAAACTTGAACAATCGATGAATCGAATACCTACAACACAAATAATCGAATATAGTGTAGACAGTATGATACTAAATAATATATTACACATAAATAGTAAAGCTCACTCACAAACAGGGAGCTATAGACCTAGCTCCAGTTAAAATCGCATATGGATCCGTTTAGGCGATCCTCCCCTATTTAAAAGATGAAACGTATCTTGTCCTGAGGGTAAAGCAGAAACGGAAAACGATTGCGCAGTATCGTTGATAAATAATCAAAGTATAATAAAATTCCCAAGTGGGTACTTACAAGGTTGGAGTCAAAACCTATGACTCAGTTCACACGTTTTGTGCAGTTAGGGACTGCACTCCCATCTGTGGTAAATGAATCCAGGGGTCCAAAACAAACTTCAATTTATTAAAACAATAAATAAATAAATATAAAATAATATGCAGCAATATGCTTTAAACCAAAAAATAATGTGCAGCAATATGCTCTATACCAGTACCATCTGTTCTTTTTTTATATGATAGTAACTCTTTCCTTTCTCTATCCTTTATCTCTAGTCTAGAGGTTTGAAGTCTGTTAGCATCATACCCCTTGGCCAGGAAATCAGTCTTAATTCGTGTGGACTGATCCTCATAATGTATTAAATCGCTGCAATTCCTTCGGATCCTAAGGAATTGTCCTTTAGGCGCATTCTCTAACCAAGGGGTATTTTTTGGTTTAAAGCATATTGCTGCATATTATTTTATATTTATTTATTGTTTTAATAAATTGAAGTTTGTTTTGGACCCCTGGATTCATTTACCACAGATGGGAGTGCAGTCCCTAACTGCACAAAACGTGTGAATTGAGTCATAGGTTTTGACTCCAACCTTGTAAGTACCCACTTGGGAATTTTATTATACTTTGATTATTTATCAACGATACTGCGCAATCGTTTTCCGTTTCTGCTTTACCCTCAGGACAAGATACGTTTTATCTTTTAAATAGGGGAGGATCGCCTAAACGGATCCGTATGCAATTTTAACTGGAGCTAGGTCTATAGCTCCCTGTTTGTGAGTGAGCTTTACTATTTATGTGTAATATATTATTCAGTATCATACTGTCTACACTATATTCGATTATTTGTGTTGTAGGTATTCGATTCATCGATTGTTCAAGTTTTTTCGTCTCCTCAATGTTACCAAAAGGTGATAACTTATTGTTCGAAATATAAGCGCTACTTTCTTTTGTTTTTCATACATACATACAGAGACATACATATATACAGACACACACACACCCATACACAAAGTGCGAAACTGATCTGTGGGCCCACCCCCCGAAACATACATACAGACACAGGCATACATACAGACACACACACACATACAGAGACACACACACACATATATACCCCCCCACACATACATACAGACACAGGCATACATACACACACACACACACACACATACAGACAGACACACATATATAAAATGTTTGTCACCCTCCTGTTTCCTACCTTTTGCAGGGGGGTGACATTCCCTGGGGTCCACTGTGGGCTCAGCCTGATAGGAGTCAGAGTTCCCACTCTGACTCCCTCCTCCTTCCTCCCGCGCGGGCTCTGTGTATGCTGGGAGGAGTGACTGGGGCAGTCACTTCCTCCCAGCACTGTGTGATGTCATCACAGGGGGCCCAGTCCCGCTGTTAAAGCGCCCAGCGGTGATTGGGACCCCTGGAAATCCATCTCCATCAGGTGGCCCTAACAGCATGGGCCACCAGATGGACCCCTTCATGTGCGGCCCCGATGTTTTGCCGCTTGGGTCCAATAGTGTTCTTTTCACCCCCCCGTCCCATAATGTTCTTTACACCCCTCCCCTGTCCCATAGTGTCCTCCCCCCTCCCCTGTCCCATAGTGTTCTTTCCCCCCCTCCCCTGTCCCATAGTGTTTCTTCCCACCTCCCCTGTCCCATAGTGTTTCTTCCCACGTCCCCTGTTCCATAGTGTTCTCTCCCCCTCCGTCCCAAGTGCAGTATTCTTGACTTTTCATGTTATCATTACTATCTTTCATTGTGATATATAAGCATCTGAATTGTCAAGAATGTCTGTTAAACTATGCACTACAAAAAAAAAAAATAATATAAAAAATAAATAAATAATAATTAAAAAAATACATTTCCACAAATTTGACCCGTTTTCAGCTGAAATTGGATAGACCCATTTTCGGCCGAAAATTTCAGCAGACGAAATTTCGGTGCATCCCTATTTATAACCACTACAGTAAACTGTATATTATGGCGCATTTAGTGAGCCTTTTAAAAAAATGATGTTACATTATAGAGCAGAAGAGAAGATCCATCATCCACGTTTCCCTCTTTAGTAGAGATTGTCCTTCTTTGAGACCCCAATTCCCCTTTTTACACTTTACTATTCTAGAGCTCCCCTTTTTAAGGAGCTCAGATTTTTATAAAATTTTTTATTAAAGGCTTGAATTTATTTTTTTTTCTGTTTGGAACTCCAGTTTGGAAGTCTCAAATCCAAATGTAACCAGGAAACTAATAGAATCCATGTGAAAAGAATTATTTAAAAAGGCAGAATGAGCATTGAGGAAAACAACATTCTCTGTGCCAGGATATGCCAGGAACAATGTTCTCGGAATCTTGAGTGTCTAAATACCCTTCAAAACAGATACATTTAATTTAAGAGTCAAACAAACACATTTAGGTGCCTGTCTGATTTTCTGAGAAACCAGGAAAGACTCATCTAGTTTTGGATAAACACAAATGAAAGAATCTAGGCACTCGAAGTACTATTTTCTAAGAGTCGCCTCTTCCTGGCTCCTGGGATTTCCCAAGCCCTGTTGTTAAACGTTAACTTCTCAGAAGCATGAACTGAATACTGATTGGTGGAAAAAGAAAAACGCTCTCTTCTTTTTTCACAGAAATGCAATTTCCCCTTTGTGCTTCAACCACCCTCTCCAGTGGCAGCTTATTACAGTAGGAAACGGGAGCTGACCGCACTTTTATGTTCTGTTTGTTGGAATACATTAGTTTTTTAACCATCTCACTTCCAGAAAGGCAAGACACGAGATTTCAATTCATTGCCATTGCAGGGAGAGTAGTTTTTGGATAGTAATGTCACTTTTATTATCACTTTCACTGAGCAGATATCCAATTTGCATTGTGAGTACACCCATCACTTTAATTGTTTAGTTTTGACACTGTGTTTTATTAGTTTTTATCACATTTTGCATTCTATATACTCACAATGCTTTAAAATAGATTTATTAAATACACTTCTATTTAGCACTAGTACTATTTAATTTGTCTCCCATATTGGAATTAGTGTCGGACCTACCGATATTAGGGAACTGTGAAGTAGTGGTGGGCTTAACACAATATGGCCATATTGTGTTACTGAATCCCCATATTTTGTAGCTGAGATACGCGATTTTAAGTAAATTTATAAGATTTAAAAAATGATTTTTATGTGTGCGCTGCAGCTTAATCTGTGTTAATCTGTATGAATTTTGATCACTACGGCAGCACTATTTCTGCAAAATGCATGTTCCGGGTGTGCCCCCAATTCTTTTTTGTCATTTATGGAGAGCAAACTGAACCTAGAATTCTGTTTATTAAACTCTGCATTGTAGCAGCGGATTAAACTACAAGTTTGGGAAACTCCTGTACAAACCGGCCTATTCGATATTCATCAAGATCTGCCCCAGCTAGGATTTGTAGACTGGCATTTAATCAGGGACACTCTTACAATGTTCATGGCAAAGTATGTAGTCTATGTTTTACCGAATATAACACTGAAGTATGCATTTGTTGTTTTTTTTGTTTAGAAATGTACAGTTGGGCCCAAAAATATTTGGACACTGACACAACTTTTGTTAATTAGGCTGTATACCAAAATAAATTCAAGTTACAGTTACATAATGAATATGGGATAAAATGCATTCTCAGCTTTAATTTGAGGGTATCCTCATTCAAATTGAAGGAAGGGTTTAAGAATTACAGCTCTTTAATATGTAGCCCCCTCTTTTTCAAGTAGTCAAAAGTGGTCAATTGACTCAAAAGCAGTTTCATGAACAAATGTGAGTTTTTCCTTTGTTATTTCTTCATCAAATAAGCAGGTAAAAGGCCCGGAGTTGATTCCAGATGTGGCTTCCGCATTTGGAAGCTGTTTACGCGAACCCACAAAATGTGGTCAAAGAAGCTCTCAATGCAAGTTAAACAGGAAAATCCTGAAAAATCCATTAGCTGCAAAAACACAAACAAACAAAAAAACTCTATTAGAGAGAAAGGCAGGAACAGGAGTGGCCATATCAACAGTTTGCTACATTCTGGAAAAAAAAACACACCGGTGAGCTCTGCAACACTAAAAGGCCTGGATGTTCATGGAAGACAAAAGTGGTGGGTGATCGTAGTATCCTTTCCATGGTAAAGATAAGCCCCTTCAGAACATCCAGCCAAGTGAAGAACACACTCCAGGTAGTAGGCTGGCTATCCAAGTTACCATAAAGAGAGGACATCACAAGAGCAAATACAGAAGGTTCACCACAATGTGTAAACCATTCATAAGCCTCAAGAATAGAAAGGCCAATAGACGTTGCCAAAAAAAAAATCTAAAAAAGTCAGCCCAGTTCTGGAACAGCATTCCAAAAACATGCTGCGAAAGCAAGTTTTTTTAAGGCAAAAAAAGTGGAATATTCTGCAATGGCCGAGTCAATCACCTAATTTCCACCGAATCGAGCATGGATTTCACTTGCAGAAGACAAAACATAAGGCAGAAAGACCCACAAACAAATAACAACCGAAGACAGCTGGTAGACAGTAAAGGCCTTGCAAAGCATCACAAAGGAGTAAATCCAACGTTTGGTGATGTCCATGCATTTTAAGCAGTCATTGCCTACAAAGGATTCTTGGCAAAGTATTAAAAATGTATATTTTATTTATGATTGTGTTAAATTGTCCAATTACATTTGAGACCCTTAAAACAGGGACTGTGTATGAAAATGGTTGCAATTCTTAAATGTTTAGCACAATATTTTTGTTCAAGCCCTTGAATTAAAGCTGAAAGTCTGCCCTTCAATTGCTTCTTGGATGTTTCATTTCAAATCCATTGTGGTGGTAAACAGAGAAAAAATTATGAAAATTGTATCCGTGTCCAAATATTTCTGGACCTAACTATAAGTGTACCAGCTCTACTCTTTGTTGGTGATGGAATCTCCATTGTACCTTAGCAAACAGCCATAGGTAAGTCAGTAGGGCAATGGGTAGGATCGTAATAGAACCTCTTGAAGTGCGCAAAAATAAAATTAATGTTAAATTCATTTTGTGTGCCAGGTCATGATGGCATCTACATTCCTGTAGCCTATGGGACATTGTGGAGAAGAGAAGAACCTATTGATGTTGTGTTGAGCTATATTTTTCACATTACACTGCCTGTTCCAGAAAAAGATGTAAAATGAGCAACGTAATACAGGAGTGAAGTACAGATTTAATAAACGGGTTAACGCACATGTGTGTCAGTCATTTTACTGCACCAATCGGTATCTCCTCATAGAGATGCATTTATATAATGTGTACTTTATTTATGAAAAGATGCTGATTGGCACAGCACGTTCGTGCAGGACGTGAAGATGGCGAACATAGGATCTGCGATAGCGAGAACGTAATTGAAAGATTGGGACTCTAACAGGAAGCAGATCTAGTGACAAATGTAAACACTTCAGGGACTCTTTGCACCAAAATCAATACACTAAGCTGCTGCTTAGAGTGTCCCTTTAAGAGCATTATTTTAATTATCATTCATTTTATATTCAGTTTGCTTTCCTTTCTCCTGCTCTATGAAACATCTTGATTTACAGAGATAATGCTGATGGTTCTGACCTCAATCATTCTGCAGTCAATAAGGTATTGCACAAATTGAAGAAATTCTACATTATTGTTACCATTTATAGACCTGATCACTATAGCCAACTATTCAAATCAAGTGACTGCAAAAGTACGGCATTCAGTATCCCAAGAGATCGGCAAAGACTGGAGGATGGTAGCTAGGGGCAAAAGTTATCTCCTGGTATTCCTGTGTCAACCATAAGTAAAGCACTAAACTACCGAGGTATACTCAGGAGGAATACAAAATGGAAACCACTTCTCTTCAAAAAGTTTATTTACCCATTGTACAGCAATTTGTAAAATGGTACCTTATAAATGCCAATATTAATAATATAGTTAAAAACAAATAGACAAAATGACAGGGTTGACTTTCCAAGCAGACATGGCAATGCATTTTTGTATCTTATGCAGCTCTGTCACCAAAAATAAATAAATGTATCTAATCTGCTTCTATACAGCTCTCGGCCTACGAAACTTTACTTTTTCTCCTGAACACTCCAGTTTTCATAAAATAAAAAACTAAAATTAAGGACTGCTTTTCAGTATTTTTAGCAGTAAAGTTGACAAAACTTGACAATGGGCAGAGCTTACAGGAATACTCTAAACACCGAAACACCTTTATTTTATCTAAGTGGTTTTGGTGTATAGATTTGTCCCTGCAATCTCACTGCTCAAATCTCCAATATTTAGGAGTTAAAGGAACCCTATACTGTTAGGAAAACAAATACAAATGTGTATTACTAACGCTATAGTGCCCTAGTCACAATTTAGGTCACAAAGGTTAAAAAAGTTAACTCCTCAAGAGTTAACTCACCTTGCATCCAACACCATGCTGCGATGTCCACAGCTGGTCCCACCTCCTTGCCTGATGTCATAAAGTTCGATGACCCAATCCAATGCTTCTTTTTTGTAGGAAAACATTGGGAGGCTAGTGCACATGCACAACAAAACGCCACACCACACCAATCAGATCGTCTCTATTTCACAAAGCATAGGTTAATCCTGCAAAGAAAACATTACAGTTCCAGCAGAAAGGCAATGTTTTCAATGGCATGACAGAATTATTTCACTTTTAATCAGATCTAACAGCACAGTGTGTTTACTTTAGAAGATTATTTCACCTGCTCTGCTAATTTGACTTTAATCACAGACAAGAGGCTCTAGTAGACTCTAGCAGGCAGAGTAGGAGATAAGAACACTGTGCATCAAAGGAAGCCAAAATGTTTAGACTTGTTTTCAGGAAGTGTGTAGTAAGACTACGTGAGTCTCAGCCAAGGGAAATGTAGCCAGATAAACAATTATATGAAATTCCTATATGTAAGAATTGAGAAGTTCGACTACAGGGGCATGCTCTAAAGTTGTGTTGGTGCTTATGGTGTCCCTTTAAGCAAGGTTCAGTTTCAGCTGCCTATCATATTTACACAAATTGAATCAGTAAAATGAATCCCACAAAGAGCAAACAGTAAACATGGGGGATGACAAAAACACAAAATGGCTGTGCACAGATATTGACAGCCAGCACAATGAAGACAATATATTTAATATAAAAGCAAGTCTCTAGAGTTGGAAGGAGTATAATCATTAAGATACAAAAAATGTTGAGAAAACAAAAAAAGGAAGTAGAAACAAGCCCAACATAAGGTATGTGAACATGCGTTAATCCTGTAATTTTCATTCAGAGCATAATCTCTAGGAAGACATCCTACACGGCCAACTAGCAATTGAGTATGGTCTGTATGTAAGGTCCAACCATGGACTGGTTATAGTCGTTATAAGGCACCTTTACCTGCCTGGCAATAATTTATGGGCTACGTTGCGCATTTTGTTTAGGGGGCAAACTAGGTCCTTATCCACTGAGAGGGTCACTGCCGCCTAGTGATTGCACAAATCAAAGCACCTGATAACCAATGGCCAAGACCTCCCTCCTAGAGAAATGGAGGGGACTCAAAAGTCAACAAATTATGGCCAAGTGCGGAGGACGAGATATGCCAAGATAGAGTAAAACCTGATGGTAAATGAGAAATAAATTGGACCCACAGCCGGATGATAAATAGTTGAGCTGAGATGAGAAATAATGGAACATGATATATGACATGTGAGGGATTTGGATAAAGACGAATGATTTACGACAAAGGGGGCTTTATGTAACACGGGGCACAAAATCTACCAATCTACCATGGAGATGAAATATGGAGCATGGTGGGTGGTTATACATGGAATTATTTCGGATTTATGAGTAGCATTCACGACAATAAAACTCACAGTAATGTTTGGTGAGTATGATGAGAGAGACACAGTCAGCACTATTTAGTAAAGTGAGAATTGTTGGGAATTCAAAGTGAATTTCAAATTTAATGCCAAAATAGCCAAACCCTGAAAAAGTTCCTAAAGTCACCTATATTAGGCCTAACATTTTTAAAGAGAAAGAGAGAAATTAATAAGGGAATAGAAGAGAGGGTACAACTTCAGTCCAGGAAAGGGAGAAGAAACTGGATCAGATATAAAGCACACACTGTCGGAGAGACTGATTTATAACCAGCGAGTTATGGGATTAGTCTTTATTGATACATAGGTTAACATCAGGAGTTAATTCAACACTCTGCTGGATTGACTGACAAATTTCACATTTGGGTGGGAATAGTCAAATTGGAAAACTAGCTGAATTGGAGAATTTGCTTCCTCAACCTGCCTTTGGTTTTTGGTTGTAACAATTTGTCACAAAATACATTCTTTTTTATTTCTTCCATCTTGTATGACAGGATGATTGCCGCTATGTGCTATTCTGCATATTGCAGCTGGGGTAAGATAACATTTGGCAAGTCACACATTTATAGATGGAGTGAACTGATGTACAAAAATACAAAAATATTATAACTAATAATGAAAGCATTGAATGTGCAAGAGCTCTATACTGTATATGTTAGAATGTTGGCTATTATCTGATATAGTCATGCAAACTCAAATCAACAGGTCACTTCATGTGACAGGAGATCAGAACTGTGGTCAGCTTGTAAGTAAGTAACCATTGCTGCATTGTCACCTAAATACCCCAGAATTAAGACCACAACTCACCCAATGATCATACATCATACAAACATGCTAACTCCTGTATGCTCAAAAAACAAAACAAAACACACACACACAATATCGAAATCCCAATCAACATCTGTACCACAAATATCAGACTCTCTGGAAAATTGTCCAGAATACACTGACACCAGCAATGAGCCATGGGCAATAAAGTGACTTAATGAACAAGGGGGAAAAAAACTGACAGCTCTCAATGGCAAGTGCTCTATTTCCTGCTAAATGGGCTTATTTAACCCCCTGTATGCTGTGTTTAGGGTGATAGAGGTAGGCAACCACTGTTAACTGCGACTCCTATCACGCCCAGCCAGTTTCAGGTTTCAACAGCCACCTGTAGAGTATCATTGGCATTCAAGCTGCGATGGATCACAACTCCCAGTATGCTAAGTAACCCTCTAGGACGCTATAGGTGACTACAGACCCGTTGTGAACTATCCAGGAAGAGATAAAGGGTACCTGGAATGCCATGAGGTCCTGTGCCAGTCCCTGTTAGCTGTGGGTACTGCCATGAAGACATGGAACTGGTAAAAAAGCTCAGTAATATCACTAAGCAAAGAGCAGCATAGTTAGTTGGGGTCAGTTAACTGCCTCCCTGTGTCTCTGATGGGCTCCCACACTGACAAAGTCCCCAGAAGGTACCATACCTTAGTGTGTTTCTCCCTGTGTCAGTCTCATGGGTCCTTTCTGAGTGCAGAACCCAGAACACAAACAGGGGCTGAACGCTCAGCTGGAGAGAGATCACAAACAGGGTGTGTTTATAAGAAAAGCAAGAGAGAGAGAGAGGGTGGGAGGGGAGAACAAGCAATGTATCACATCCTTACAGTGTGACAATACAGAGACTGACACAACCTCACTGTATCACATCCTTACAGAGTGACAATACAGAGACTGACACAACCTCACTGTATCACATCCTTACAGAGTGACAATACAGAGACTGACACAACCTCACTGTATCACATCCTTACAGTGTGACAATACAGAGACTGACACAACCTCACTGTATCACATCCTTACAGAGTGACAATACTGAGACTGACACAGCCTCACTGTATCACATCCTTACAGTGTGACAATACAGAGACTGACACAACCTCACTGTATCACATCCTTACAGTGTGACAATACAGAGACTGACACAACCTCACTGTATCACATCCTTACAGTGTGACAATACAGAGACTGATACAACCTCACTGTATCACATCCTTACAGGGTGACAATACAGAGACTGGCACAGCCTCACTGTATCACATCCTTACAGTGTGACAATACAGAGACTGACACAGCCTCACTGTATCACATCCTTACAGTGTGACAATACAGAGACTGATACAACCTCACTGTATCACATCCGCTCAGTGCTACATACAGACTGATACAACCTCACTGTATAACATCTGCACAGTGTGACAATACAGAGTGATACACACAACTTCAGTATATCACATCCTTACAGTGTGACAATACAGAGACCGATACACACAACCTCAGTATATCACATCCTTACAGTGTGACAATACAGAGACTGCCACAACCTCACTGTATCACATCCTTACAGTGTGACAATACAGAGACTGACACAACCTCACTGTATCACATCCTTACAGTGTGACAATACAGAGACTGACACAACCTCACTGTATCACATCTTTACAGTGTGACAATCCACTGTATCACATCCTTACAGTGTGGCAATACAAAGACTGGCACAGCCTCACTGTATCACATCCTTACAGTGTGACAATACAGAGACTGACACAACCTCACTGTATCACATCCTTACAGTGTGACAATACAGAGACTGACACAACCTCACTGTATCACATCCTTACAGAGTGACAATACTGAGACTGACACAACCTCACTGTATCACATCCTTACAGTGTGACAATACAGAGACTGACACGACCTCACTGTATCACATCCTTACAGAGTGACAATACTGAGACTGACACAGCCTCACTGTATCACATCCTTACAGTGTGACAATACAGAGACTGACACAACCTCACTGTATCACATCCTTACAGTGTGACAATACAGAGACTGACACAACCTCACTGTATCACATCCTTACAGAGTGACAATACTGAGACTGACACAACCTCACTGTATCACATCCTTACAGTGTGACAATACAGAGACTGACACGACCTCACTGTATCACATCTTTACAGTGTGACAATCCACTGTATCACATCCTTACAGTGTGGCAATACAAAGACTGGCACAGCCTTACTGTATCACATCCTTACAGTGTGACAATACAGAGACTGACACAGCCTCACTGTATCACATCCTTACAGTGTGACAATACAGAGACTGACACAACCTCACTGTGTCACATCCTTACAGAGTGACAATACATAGACTGATACAACCTCACTGTATCACATCCGCTCAGTGCTACATACAGACTGATACAACCTCACTGTATAACATCTGCACAGTGTGACAATACAGAGTGATACACACAACTTCAGTATATCACATCCTTACAGTGTGACAATACAGAGACCGATACACACAACCTCAGTATATCACATCCTTACAGTGTGACAATACAGAGACCGATACACACAACCTCAGTATATCACATCCTTACAGTGTGACAATACAGAGACTGCCACAACCTCACTGTATCACATCCTTACAGTGTGACAATACAGAGACTGACACGACCTCACTGTATCACATCCTTACAGTGTGACAATACAGAGACTGACACGACCTCACTGTATCACATCCTTACAGTGTGACAATACAGAGACTGCACAGCCTCACTGTATCACATCCTTACAGTGTGACACATAGAGACTGACACAGCCTCACTGTATCACATCCTACAGTGTGACAATACAGAGACTGACATAACCTCACTGTAATATCACATCTTTACAGTGACAATACAGAGAGACTGACACAGCCTCACTGTATCACACTTTTACAGTGTGACAATACAGAGACTGATACAACCTCACTGTGAATACATCCACACAGTGTGACAAAATAGAGACTGACACAAATCTCACTGTATCACATCCTTACAGTGTGACAATACAGAGACTGCCACAACCTCACTGTATCACATCCTTACAGTGTGACAATACAGAGACTGATACAACCTCACTGTATCACATCCTTACAGTGTGACAAAATAGAGACTGACACAACCTCACTGTATCACATCCTTACAGTGTGACAATACTGAGACTGACACAACCTCACTGTGTCACATCCTTACAGTGTGACAATACAGAGACTGATACAACCTCACTGTATCACATCCGCACAGTGTGACAATACTGAGACTGACACAACCTCACTGTGTCACATCCTTACAGTGTGACAATACAGAGACTGATACAACCTCACTGTATCACATCCTTACAGTGTGACAATACAGAGACTGATACAACCTCACTGTATCACATCCGCACAGTGTGACAAAATAGAGACTGACACAACCTCACTGTATAACATCCGCACATTGTGACAATACAGAGACTGATACTCACAACCTCAGTACAGTATATCACATCCTTACAGTGTGACAATACAGAGACTGACACACAACCTCACTGTATCACATTCCTAGCACAGATAAACACGGTTATTCAACAAAGTTATACTTTCAGAAATTTTGAGTTAATTTAATATTTAAGGTTAAAGCTGCTGACATTGAAGCATAGCTGAGAGGCTACTGTCTGATACACACAACCTCCCTGTATCTGTCCTTAACAACCATCTACAGGGTTATTCACTACACATCAAAAAATTTTAAAATCTAAAGTTAATTCCAGTTGGAATACAGCCAACTCTGCACCATCTGTTGTCTGGGTTAAAATCAGTACTTTTTTTAACAGAACCATGTACAAAGTATAGGATTGAGAATATGTACAAAGCACAGATTAAAAAAAAAAAAAAATCAGGGCCGAATGCATCCAGCATGATAGACATTTGCAAATGACTATTTATGTGGTGGGCTGGCCAGTACTTATATTAAAAGAAAAATCCTATGGGCGTAAATGTCATCATGTGGTAGGTGGGATATATATACTAAACATTGAGTCACTAGCTAAAAGTTAGCGACTGGGCAGCCATTGCTGCCCATTCCCTAGCAAAACCCCATCCCATTAAAGGAATACTCCAAGCACCATGACCACTAAAGCCTGCTGTAGTAATTATGGTGATAGGAGTGTCCTGGCACCCTGCAGTGTAAGTAGTCAGTCAATTTTACTTTAGTTTGATAATTTACGAGGGGCCTAACACGTGCCGGTTGCCTCCTTCTCTCCAGTCTGCACTGATCTAGCCTATTTTGCCATAAGGCTACCAAGGCCATGTATTGCTGAGTGTGTACTTGTCTGTGACTGTGTATTTGTGTACAACTGAGTGATGTATGACTGTGAGTGCATGTCTGTGAGAGTGCGTTGGTATATGTGTATTCATTAATGTGTATCTGTGTGCATGTCTGTGCCACTTGTATGTGTGCATTTTTGTGTGCTTTTGTATGATCCTGTATAAACCATTTACTTTTAAGGATTTTGCTCCTCCACCGACTGTATCTTTCCACAGCCTTTATCCCCACTCTATAGCTGCTATCTCACTCTTAACACACACAACAGCCCATCTACAGCCAAAAAACACACACAACTGTCCATATTCCTGCCAAACACTCATTACAGCCCAATTTACCACACACAAACTATTTCACCAATTTCCCTCCCACTCACATACTACAGCCCCTTTTCCCCCAAACACTCACTAAAGCTTTTATCCTCCTAAACACACACACACACATTAGTGCCCCTACCCACATTCAGCCCCTATTTACATGCACAGACACATACTACAAGCCAACAGCCCCATCCACACACACAAACCTACAACAACCTTCCTCTTACACACGCAACACAGTAGGCATCCTTCATCCCTTATACACAACCACACAAGCAGCACCCCCCCCCCACACCCAACCCTGCAAGCAACATCCACAGAGACAAGCGCATAACTACCCGCGCACATGCAGCCCTACAAGCAGCATTCCTGCTAACAAACAACTGCCCCCACACATGTATACCCACCTTCTCCCAGCCCTGTCCAACCTATCATCCAATCACCCACCTAGTCACATTAATGGTTTAATTTTATCCCTAACTTGTCACATCCACTCTGAAATGTTTGCGTATATATATAAAAAGTTGGGTCTGCACTCATGGTCTGAAGATAAATCTGAGTATTTATTGAATTTCCAGGAGATCGACGTTTCTTCAGAATCAGGATAAAATGTCAGACACTTAACATACATATATATAAGAAAAATAATGAAAGACAAATTTACCCCAGGTGTTGAGTGCGAAACCCGGTGTCCCTGTGTGTTCCGTGCACATGCGCGTGGGTAACTCCGCCCCTACGTGATGACGTGGCACGTATGTATTTTTCTTTTATGTATGTTAAGTGTCTGAAATTTTATCCTAATCCTGAACACAGTCCCGGCTGGGGACTGAAACGTCGATCTCCTGGAAAGTCAATAAATACTCTCTAAGAGATTAGATTAGCTCTTTTAAATTAGATTAGGTTTTTTTTAAAAAAAACTAATAAAATCTGTGAAGTTTAAAGTTGCTGTTTAGTGGATGGGTGAGTGCGCTGGATCTTGTGTATTGTATAAATTGTCCCCCAGCAGCCCCTATTTATGCATGTTCAGGTGAGTGCAGCCACCTGGTTTCATATATATATATATATATATATATATTTGGGAG